TTTTATTTGTTAAGTGCCTATCGTTTGTTCGTCTACATTCTGTATTTGTCGTAAAATAAAGTGTCGCATGATTATTTCTTGATAATCTACTTCGATGTTTACCTCATTTAGGACCATCTGGCGTTCACTATAGGACTGTTAAATCTACATTTTATAAACGATTTATTAGAGTGAAGATTTGTTCTTTATTCATGTGACTTCTGAAAATATTGATGGAAGAAAAATATTGATCGAAATCTCGATCACAGTAACGAAAACTATTCTCTAAAGTTTGCTGTGATAAAGAAGTGGCTAAAAAGATAAATAAGAGACTTAAAAGATAAAGAGGAGAGAAAAAAGATAAAGAAGAGTCTAAAAATATAAAGAATAGACTAATGATAAAGAAGATATTAATTTAAACAGTGGTGACAAGTTAATTAAGCTTAAACTTATTGAACAAAAAGCGAACTTATTGAAAGACACTGAAATGAAAATCAGAGATAATTAGTGAAGTTGATGACTCAACATGCGAAACTGAAATTGATGAATCGGAAACACATATTGATCGTTGGCGTCTTCTAGAATTTAAACTTTTAAAATAAGCAAATTTTGAGAAAGAAGAATTCCTATTTGATGATAATGCTTTGTCAGTAAATACGTAGTAACTTCCAGTTTTTATTGGAAATACCAGAAACTGGTTACATTTTTGAGGATAATTTCAAAAAATTGATAAAGTTCCCAATTGGACAGTTGTGATAAATTTTTGTATCTATCACATGCCATTCGTGAAAGGAAGAATTGTTGAGGAGTCGATTAAAAGTTTTCTTAAAGGTAGCTATGGAGATAGCTATGAAATATAGCTATGATATAGTGGAGATAGCTATGAAAAAGCTATAGGCCAACTTAATTAGCTGTTCATTCAAGTTTATGTGAGAGATCTACTTTCTCTTGTCCTCCAAAAAGATTGCAATCAAAGAAAATCATTGAGAGTTCTCTGTGATTTCTTAGAGACTAAATTACGTTAGAGTGGAGATCTTAGGCGTAACCAAAAGTGGGGCGAGGAGTTAACGGGAACGTCAACCGTCATCTATAGAAAGGTACCCCAACATAGAATCGACCTAACACGTCTTATATACTAGTGAATTGATGTTTAATTTTCGTAGTGGTAGTTACGCCACAATACTCTCCCACCAGAATTTTATCTGTGATAGAATTCGATGAATGTATGCCACTAGTTGATTCATTGCTGTTTTTTGTGAGAAGCCGGGGGAGCTGCATTAAGACCACCGTACTTTTGCTGATTGTAAGAGCTATATTAAGATCACGGTCGTGGTCGCTCCCGTGTTGCCTTAAGCAGTCGAGTGTATATGTTGTGTGTGATTGAAACTGAGCAGCAACAGCGTTAGGAGGTGGATGATGTTGCTGTCACAAGTAGCAAGTCAACTGTTCAATGTGTTCCAACCATCGAAGTAGGCGTTACTGTCGACGTAGGCGTATTCATATCGAGGTGGGCGTTTCTGCCAAATTAGGCGTGTTCACATCACGTCCGAAAGTCCCCAATGTGGGCGAGGAGTTAACGACCGTCATCTATGAAAAGGTATCCCAACATAAAATCGAGTTAACACGTCTAATATAGTAGTGAATTGATGTTTAATTTTCGTAGTGGTAGTTACGCCACACCAGACATAAGTATGCCATGTTGTGTGTGATTGAAACTGAGCAGCAACAGCGTTAGGAGGTGGATGATGTTGCAGTCACAAGTAGCAAGTCAACTGTTCAATGTGGACCAACCATCGAAGTAGGCGTTACTGTCGACGTAGGCGTATTCATATCGAGGTGGGCGTTTCTGCCAAAGTAGGCGTGTTCACATCACGTCCAAAAGTCCCCATTGTAGGGCGAGGAGTTAACGACCGTCATCTATGAAAAGGTATCCCGACATAAAATCGAGTTAACACGTCTTATATAGTAGTGAATTGATGTTTAATTTTCGTAGTGGTAGTTACGCCACACCAGACATAAGTATGCATCCATTTTGTTCCCCATGATAATGAGAGAAAAAAGAATCTGTGGAAGTTTAAGTCAATAATGTGTATTTTTTATAATAAAAAATTTTATGTTGTAGCCAGTTTTATCGTATTTAGAGAAAAAATCAGAATTTTTTGTAGGCTTCTGATTTGTAACTTAATTTTAAAATACATCACTTCTCTAAGTATGATTACATTAAGTTAATTAGATTCACTAATTCTATTAAACTTTGTCTAGATAATTGACAAAATGTTAAAAATGCTTATCAGTTTATGTATTTATTCATTAAGTCAAATAGTCAAAAACAAGCAAATAGTCATCAATCAAATAGTCAATATCATCATATAAGCGATTTTTACTGTTTTACCTTAAACCGTAAATATATTCTTTTTAAAGTTCATATTATTAGCTACAAGAGAAATCATGATTTAAAAAAAAAATTGAATGCTAATCGTATCACATTTATAGGTTAAAAGCACTATCTGAATTCAAAAATGTAGCGATTGAGACGATTTTTTTCTCATTCATTGAGAAGTTAGGAGGTTGAAGAATTTTATAAATCATCTTAAACATTCGATTTCCTTATTTAACAAAACAAAACAAAAGCAGGTCATAAAGAAAACAAAAAACAGTGCATTTGCTCATGTATAACTAAAAAGTTGCAAAGACGTTTTGTACCGCAGTGGACAGATCGTAAAGACATGGTTTCCAGTAGAACACCAAAGTCAAGCATCACTGGCTACTGTCAGTGAGCGGGTGGGTGACCACCTTGATCAACCAGCCTGCGTAGGGACCGAGGTTGTGCTTTATCGGTCCTCGTTAAACTATTCTACCGTAAAATTTTCGAATTTGCGCAGAGGTCGTCGGGCTATCATAGCAATGGAGCCGTCTCCTCTGCAGAGGATCGAAATTGCGAGGGCATGTCTCCGAATCATCCTCAGGGATTTTCCAGACCATCGCCAATAGCCCATTGTTCAACTCTAGTGTGACGTAAATAAAGCATCCACTTACCTCAAAAAAGTTTTAGTGAAGCCGTGTAATGAACATGTTCTTGTATATCGCTCATATACAAACTCAGCAATTTAATATTTTGCATTTTTAAGTCCGTTATATATGTAAGAAGGAATGAAATTTTTAAACTTCTACATCTATTGAGGGCATAAATATGCAAAATACCAAATTACAGAATTCGTATATGAACGATATACAAAGAGCATGTTCGTTACACCCTTCCAGCAGATAAGGAATAATACCTCTGACAGTCAATGAGACGTTCATCCATACATAAGCTATGGATCAAGTTGTCCATATCTCATCCACATAAAAGCTATGGTGTATGTCTGATGGACGGCTTTTAGGAATCTATTGGAAATTCCCTAGATCAAATATGGATGTCTTGTAGATGTCCACCTGGCGATCACGTGGAGCTTGAATTTCGTGGATGTTTGTGATGAATCGATTCTAGTGGACATCCACTGGGTTATTTTGCGCTATACGTTTCTGTAAATATCAGATAAAAATAGATTATATTTTATCAGAAAAGAGAAGTTAACCCTTTGAGTGCTTGTTCCGGCTTTTTTTCCAAGCTTCTTGCTGCAAGCTTCTTTTGCATCATGAAATAGGCTGCCCCCATGTTATTTAATGGGAGAGGGTGCGTAGCTGGGAAAAATACCGCACCATTTTACCCAGTGGCTCAGCGCTCGTAGGATTAATTTTTTTAATGTTATTTTTAATGTTTAATGTACGTATGTTTTAATGTTTTATGTATTTGAATGTTCTTTTTAAATATCTGAAAAATGCAATTACACTGATTTGAATTTTTTTTTCCAATGCCCACCTGGGGAATGACGTTTCATCAATACAGGCATCTGAAAGGAAGATTTGTTGGCACTCTTTCAGGGGCACTATGTTAGGTGGGCCAACGTTGCTCCCCCACTGGGAACAGATAGTACAGAGTATGAAAGAGCATCTATGCCTTGACCGGGATACGATCCGGGATAAAGATGTAAGGCCAGTTCCCCGACCCCTTACACAGATCGATCGCTTTGATTTGAATTTAAATTGTTGGGAATTATAATAATAAATGCTTATTCTCATTTATGAAGCAGATTTTACCACCTTTTTTTAACTCACTTAGCATGAGAAATATTTATAAACAATAAAATGAGAAATATTTGCAGGTCATTAAAATTGCACAAAAATATAGAGTAAACTAATGTTTTTCAGCATTTTCGTTGTTTCAATATTTTTATAATTACTACTTTTATTTACCTTCCCATTCTGCCTCATATCTGGGGTGGGAAGGGGTACCTAATTTTCAGTATAAATTTTTTAATGAAAAAAGTTGTAATCTGCTATTTTCTTAAAATAGAGATGGCTAAGCTGACATAATCTCACTTACTTGTTCTGTGGAAATTCAGCAATAATCAATCAGTTATTGAAATCAGGGAATAAGAATACATTTCAATTTGATGAAAATATGAATCGCTTAATGGGACTGGCGCAAATGATAATTGATTGGTTTATTCCACTCGAGTGATATAGTTCAATCTTTGGTTTGGGCATCTCTATATCATGGTATTTTTAAGAATATAAGAATAATATATTGGTAGAAAAACTTTGAATTCTTTCATGTAACTATTTTTTATTTTAAAAACATATTTCAAGGTAAATACACAGCTCCGCCTCGACTTTCCTTCTTAAAGAAAGCAAATAATTTCAGAAATAAAAAGAGAATCCTTATAAATGGGACACATAACCATGAATTTAAGAGAAAGTTATAACTCCTCCACTCACCTCTTTGAGAACACTAATAGATTATAAACGAGATGAATCTATTCATCCATTTTTGTGATTTATAATAATTTTTCAGACATGGCGGACAAAATTTTTCTTCTTTGTTTGTCTAGGTTTGGAATACCGTTTTTGATGTTAGCGCCATCTGTGATTCTGTTAATTTTATTTAGATCTTTTGTTAAGAATAAGTTTTAGTTCTTTGAGAATGGCAACGATTGCGCGCCTAAACCTAAACTTGGCAGCTATACGAAATTTTTAATTGTGTAGATCGGATGTGAAATATAAATGAAATATGATTTTAATTACTCTTTTAGGAATACCGGCATATAGTTTTTTCGATTATCTATTGCCGTAACAACATCTGCTATATTTTAGTTTAGGTTTATTATTACTGGTTGTAATGTTTTGTTCCATGGATTTTCTCTCCTGACAATGTCCTTTTGACAAGATTCTCAACAAATGACGTTGATGTTGTGTGTTTCTTATTGATAATCAATTTTAGAAACTTGGCAATCAATTATTTTATTATAATTTATTATTATTTATTGAAATGAATTCTAATAAATACTCTAAATACATGAAGAAAAAGGTGAGAAATCTATTGCGTAGTGATTTGCTTAAGGTTATTGTACTTAGCGTAATATATTGATCATTATATAATGGTTATAATAATCATTAAATTTATTTGATTTAAATTTTTTTATTCTTATGCCGTCATTTTTCAGTATTTTAATTAATTATGAAGTTTTTTTATTTGATGGGCACGTGCATATACTTTAATGATAAAGTCATTAAGAGAAGTTGACAATCATAATAATATATTTATGCATGTAATTTTTGTTTATAACAGAATAAAAATTATTCATAACACTTCATATTTTTAAATAGTGTTTATTTTTAAAATCTGAAATGTTGATTTTAAATACTATATTAAATACTATGCTGTTTTATTTGTTATGTTGTAGTTAGCAAGTTTAATAGTAGCTATAAGAGAATTACTTTTTATCTGACTCTATATAAACAGAACTTACAGCAAACGTAAAATCATATAAAAGATTTCTGCCGGAGAATAAAATAATATTTTTCAATTAGATTGGAAAATTTATATAGCCTTAATTAGCGTAAGAGATTGATGAACTCATGCTAATGAGGTACATATGCTGTTTAAAAATGGTTTAAATCCAAAATCTAGGGTTAAATCCTTCTCCCTTCATTTAAATAGCAGCATGTTAACATCTCATATTTGAGTGCCTAGTTGAATGAATTTAATTATGTTATATAATATTTTATTTTCAATTTTTTCTCTATGTAACAATCATCATCCATGACAATGATTTCAAGATGAAAAGCATTACCACACTTTTCAATAAATCTGATATTTTGAATATTGATAAATTTTTTGACCAGTTTTTAATTTTAAAACTTTTTTTTGATTAAATATCTTCTGTAAATAAAAAAAAATATATAGTTTAATTTGCATTTTTCTATTAGTTTAATTGAAACAATGTTTTTGTAAGATAAATTTCTTATAAAGTTTTGAACTTTTCTGAAAATTTATGTAATCTTTCCTTAATGGCGAGACATCCCAGTGGGGGCCTTGGCCTTTCTTAGATNTCTGTAGTTATGATTTAATAATTAAAATGATTAATAATAATTATGATTCAATGATAATTGAAGTAACTGCAAACTTTCAAAGACAAGTGCAACAAGGGGGTTTCATTGCTATCTTTCCTTTCCCATATAAATCTATGTATTGACAGCAATGACAAACTAAATAAAAAGAGTTGAAAATAACAAAAGTTTAAGAAATCCACTGTAGAGTTTGGGGGAAAAAATAAAGAATGGTTGAGGAAGGAAAGGGTATGGAGTCTATTACATCAGGGCACTAATTTACTTCAGGGGCAACAGGGTGGATTATTTTGATTAAAAGGGCAACAGGGTGCTGCGCCCTGTTTACCCTGCCTGGAGTGAGCTCTGTTAATTTACGAATTAAAAATAATTCTAGAGTATACAGCTTTGTCATCTTTAATATTCTTGCATTTAATTTTTTAAAATCTGTTAAAAATTTTTATAACTGGCGTATTTTTAATTTCTTATATTTTTCAGATATTGCCTACTTTCATCATGGGGCAGAAAAATGCTACAGTGTCTAACCCTCAGTCTTCTTGCTCAATCTTTAGTGTAGATGAAGATGTCCGAATAGTTGTTGAAAATGGTGATGATTCTGTGTTTTCCACTACAATGCCTTTAGATAAAAACCTTGAACTCTCTCAAAAAACCTACTCCAAAAGAAATCCTCTCAGTTTTCCTCCTAGTTTGACGCCTTCAAATGAGCCATTTAAATTTTCAGTTATTCCTGAAATTCCATCATTTTCCTCTGATTCTTCGCAGTCCACTGCAAATGTTAAAAAAAAGCGAGGATTGGGTGGAAAATTTCAAACTGGTGTTCCTAGGAAGATTCTCAAAGCAGATATTGCCCCAAAAGATAAATCTAACCCAGTCTCTTACCGTACTAGACCAAGAGAAAAGATCGTATGCCTCGACAGTGAAGCTTCTTCAGACTCTGATATTGAAGTTGTCGAGATTAAAGTCGTTAACCCAAATGCCTTAAATTCGCAATCAATGAACGGTATCATGAGGAGATCTATTAAAAAAGAACCAGGTTCAGACAATAAGAGAAAGACTGAATTGTCTAAGAAGAAATCTGAGCCGAATCACCTTCAAGTTACCAAATCTTGCTATATGGCTGCAAGTAATGAACTGATTGTCAACGAAGCCGACACTGCTCCTTACATGCCAAATAATCCTAATATGTTTCCTGACGTGTTGACTTCTACAAAGTGGTTAAATTCCACGAGTAGTGCCGAAGAAGCCTCTCAGAAAAACAATAATCGTGTCTCGGTCGGAAAACAAGTGGCTTCTTCGACTGCCAACGTAAAACCTTCGCTTATACAAGAAGTAAAGTTAATGGATGTTAAAACGTTGAAAAAGCGAAGTGAATTAAAATGCTTGTATCAGAATTTAGAAGAAATTTCTTGGACACAATCCACTAGTTTCAAGAATCTGCTTCGGAATCCGGAATACATAAGACATTCAGATCGAAGCAAGTGCAGAGTGACTGGGACCGGTAAAAATCTTAAAGAAATTCCCCATAAGCCTGCTGCTGTTTCTGGTGTGAAAAAAATCCCTGAAATTAAAGCTGGCTTGAGAAATCGCAAGCTAGTTAATGTTAAAACTAATAAAAAATTAGTTAAGTTAGCTCCTAAAATTAAATATAATAAATATAATAAATTTAGTGCTAATAAGTTGTCCGCACCTAAATTGAATAAAAAAGCTCAAGCAAATGTAGCTAAACTGTCTCAAAAAGGTAGCAAAATAACAAAAGCACCAAAAGCTGGCACCAAAATAAAGGCTGCTGAACTTAAAATTAAAAAAAGTCCGAGTGAAAAAGTTGAAGAGACCAAGCTCAAAAAACAGGATCTCGATAATGATTGTGAAAAACTGAAAGTGAAGGCAAAAGCAGAAACTCCTAAATCAAATGGTGATGTTAAAATAAAGCCTTCTATACTTGCTAAAGATAAAATGTTAACTCTCTCAAAACCAAAGGTTGAAATATCTAAAGCATCTAGTAGTGGTGTACATCACAATGAGTGTAGTTCAAGTGATCCGTGCATCATGTGTGATGTGATGCCCACCAAGGAGGATAGTCTCGAAAAACCAAATCAGCAGACGAACCTCTTTTCCAAGCGTTTCGGAATGCTTCAAAAGTACAAGAAAAAGGATCATGTGTATTCGACGGTTCAGAAAGGGCCGCAGTGCCGTGTGCACATTGAACCATTGGAGCCCTCTAGTTTACGAAATACAGAGTATTATGATGATTATCGGAAACAGTACTTCAATCAAGCACTTCGCAAAGGTAAGACATGTTATTTTTGAAATTAAAAGTCTCTGTTGTACAGTGTTCTGACTCCACTTATTTATAAAAATTTAAGTTAGCTTCTCTTTCATTGTACTCATTTAGGTTATCTATTTTAAAGCAGGGTTTGTTCATTTAAATCGAATGATTTATTCAGAGCTCATTCTAGGCAGAAAAAAGGGCAGGGTGCAAAAGTTTAAAAAAGGGGCATTATTATTCTAAAAAGGCAATAATTTCTTCATATGGGCTTTACACGTTCTATTAAAAAACATTGTAGATTATAAAAAGAAGTTTTTTTTTTTTTTACTTTACTAAAAGTAGCAAAGCAATCATATTAATTACTAACTTTTATTAATAAATTCACATATATATCAAGTTAATGAGCTAATTAGCGTAGTAATTTATTTAAAATGCATGCATATATTAATAAATGTATGTTTTTAAGTGTTTGTAGTTATGATTTAATAATTAAAATGATTAATAATAATTATGATTTAAGTAACTGCAAACTTTCAATGACAAGTGCAACAAAGGGGTGTGATGGCTATTTTTCCCATATAAATCTATGTATTGACAGCAACGACAAACTAAATAAAACGAATTGAAAACAACAAATGTTTAAGAAATCCATTCTAGAGCTTGGGGGAAAATAAAGAAAGGTTGAGGAAAGAAAGGGCAAAAAGGGTATGAGTCTATTACATCAGGGCAACAGGGTGGATTCTTTTGACTAATAGGGCAGCAGGGTGCTGCACCCTGTTTACCCTGCCTAGAATGAGCTCTATATTAATTTAAAAGTTAAAAAACAGTTTTTTAAGTTATTGATACTTTTATTAATTTCTTTTCTTAGTTTTAAAATTTATTTTAAATAAATTGTCGCATTAATTAATTTTAGTTAATGAAATTAATTTCGTTCTTGGTGTGTTTTAAAATCCAACACGTTTGAAATTACATTTTTAAAAATCTTTTGATTCTTGAGATCGAAAGTACAGATTAGCTGTCTTAATATAGATTTGCATAGCTGTAGATAGTAATTAATAAACATGAATTTTTTTTCACACAAAACCGTAATGTTAATTAAAATTCTACCTTTTGATTGAAAAAGCATGGAATTAAATGGTAATGGTAATTGGTGGAAAATGTATATTTTCAAAGCTTGAGGTCATCTTAAAAAGAAATTACCCTAATGTGCCAAAAATAGGGTTTACATTCTTTATTTCATCTAGTCTTTAAATTTCAATCATGTATTTGTTTCAAAATGGTTGCTATGCATTCAAAGCTATGTATTATTATGAAAAATTGTTTTGGTAGTTAGAGCTTCTAAAATATTGCTATAATATAGTTTTAATATTAATTTAATTTTGAATAAACATTTATTAAGTTTTTTAATCATAAATCAAAGTTCTTACAGTGTATTAGAATAAAAAAAAATCTAATTTGATTAAAAAAAATCAGATTTAAATAACAAAAATCAGATTTTTATTTTTTAAAAAAAATCACGAACTTTGTTATAAAGCTTGTATGCCTCCAACTTATTACTTTGTGAAGATATCAAAGATCAGACAAGCTAAGAAAAACTTTAATGTTCTGCATCTCTAAGCAAGCTAAGTTAGACCACTTTTCAGATTAGACCTTCTGTTTCTGCACACTAAAATTTTATTGTTCAAATTATTTATCCTAATTTTATTTTTTAAAGCTCTAGTTTCTCATGAATTATCGTTTTTATAGTAAAGAACAAAATATTTTTATAATTAGTGTAAGTATGTAAAATTTATTCATGACTGTTCTTAGCAGAAATTCTACAGCTCAGCAGTGAAGTGCTAAAAATTATTTTTAATCTCAGATTTAAAAAAAAAAAAAATCACAGCAACTGAAAATTATTTTTCATTTCAGATTTTTTAGAAAAAAAACAAACCTAAAATATTACTTAGAGGAGAAATTTAAAAATTATTTTTAATTCTTAAAGTTATTAATACTTTTCGTTTCAGGTCCGTTACAAAATTTGTTTGTCAATCTGCAAATATATAATGAAAGAAAAGTAACTTTCAAAAATTCTAAATTACTACTCTTTAAAGAACCGAAAATTTTAAAAATGAATTTAAACAGCTTGAAAAATTTAAAAAAATAAATATATGCTTAATTTTTGAAAACTTTAATTGCCTGTTTAAAAACTGTATAGGTACTTATTACAATTTTTAAAGTTTTAATAATTCTTTTAATTTAAAAGTGTGTAAATATTTTAATTAATGTAACGAATTCTGAACAAAATTTTTTATCTTAATATAGTAACTGTCTGACTAAATAAATGTGTCGCAAATAATCGCATAAATAATGGTCGCAAATAAATGTGAATTAAGATGATAGTAAATTTTGCTACTAGGATGACTGTTAGGTTAAGTTTCTGTCTCTTTCTAGTCACTCTGCTAATGGAAATGGTGTCAAATTTCAGTAAAAAAATCCATGTTTTTTTTCTAAAGTGTGTTTATCTAATTTTTTAATTTTCCTATTTGTAATAATTAGCAGTAACTCCTTCATAGTAAAGATATTATCTCTAACATAATATTTATTTTTATCATTATATTTGGTATAATGATGTTATGGCAAGATTGATATTTGCATTGAAAATTGTTTATATTTAATGATGTGATAAATTTGGCAGATTTGTAATTGTGTAGATGAAAAAGATGATATAATGACAGATTTGTAATTGTGCAGAGGAAAAAAAATATGAAAAAGATGATTGACTTAATTCTTGGTGTTATTGATGCTTCGTATTTCTACGTTTTCCGTGAAGATTAGTTTATGAAATTTTGGTTTTAAGATTAAATTTTTTGTTTGCACCAAAAATATTATTATGGACATTACTATGTTTTGAAAGTGAAATTCTCTATTGTAAAAGTTGTTTGGATATCAAATGTTTTTGTTGGTTTGTGGTTATCTGCACCTACATATGCTTCAGAATTGTGTACCATGACTTTTAAAGGTGAATATGCATTGGGTGCATTCAGAAGAAAAGTGCTTCAAAGTATTTTGATGGTGTTCAAATTAACGGACTATGGAAAAGGAGATCTATCAATGAATGTTACCACCTTTATAAAGAAAATGACACCAAATATATCGAAATTAGAAGGATGAAATGGGACGGTCATCTAATGTGGTCACACCAGATGAATGTACGGCGAGATAATTTTTTTTTTATGACTAGGCAAATTGGGAATCGACCGTCTGATTCTGTGGATAAGGACTTCCTCATACTGAACTGTAAATACTGGAGAACTGTTGCTAAGAACAGGCCAGGATGGTAGAGAATCCTCAAGAAGACCAGGGCCCTTCCTGGGCTATTGCACTAATGATGATGTTCGTTTATGTTTTTGATTCTAAGTTATTGAAGTTATTATGAAGAGTTGTAATTTTGGCTGAAATAATTTGTTAGCTAGGGATGTAATTATTAAAGAATTGCTTAAGAAGTTCATATTTTATAAGAATTGTGTGAGAAACTTGCGTGATTTATTAGAAACCTGGTAGAACAAATGCATTTATGAGATAATGTCAAGATACAATGTTTTTAGGTGAGTTAAATAATAATCAAAAATTGGCAGATTATTACTCACATTGAAAGCTTTAGATTTTAAAGATATCACATATCTAACAATGGCATGATTAAATTATAAATAAAATTTATTGTGGATCTAATTATCTAAATATTCATATTATATATCTATATTATATTTTTATGAAAAGTTTACCGTAAAGCTTAAAGTAAATAAATTTTAAAAAAATGTGTTTCTCTACCCCAAAAATTTCTTTTACTCTGCATCTATGATAATAGTTCCTCCAAACACTTAAGATGAAATTTCCATCGTGCTTATTTGTCTTTCATCTTTGATGGAACAATCTCAAATTTTGGGAATCATGGATTGGAGTTCCATTTATTTTTGTGGGGCCTTTCATAAATTTTAGATTAAATTGAAAAAGAATGTAATGCCCTGCTGTAGCAGTTGTAGTCAATAAATAGCTGGTTTTATTTTTGAACACATGTCTGAAACCAATTTATAACATTGGATACAATCTCCAACCAATACACCTAATATAGTAGAATGTCATTCTGCAGAATCTTAGCAAACGACAAATACAGGTATTCAACAAATGTGAATCAACATGAAATATTCAAAATGTATGAAAAGTAATTAAAATTCAAAATGGGTCCAAAGCAAGAAAGAAATAATATTCACAATTTATGTGTTGCAATAAGTATAAAAGAATTATGCATGTAATGCAAAAATATTTACAATGCAAAAAAGAAAAAAGAAGCTAACATTTTGGTTGGAATGCGCTCTTTTTTCCTCAGCACAAATAATACATATTTGACAACAAGATAGCTATTTATTTTTGTGTGAAAGTTCCTCCATGTCCCAAAGGCTTTGATGCCTTTTGCAATTGTTATGGTTCCATTTCACCTTCTATTTTGCACTTTTTCAGCTCCTGCAACCATTTCTTACACTGATAATATCAGAAATTTTAACATTTTCATCAATTGAAGCATGCCAAATGTGCTGTTTGTTTGAGACACTTTCCCTTAACTCTAATGAAACCTCATTTTCTTCATCAGGAGTTATTGTCATTCTTCTAATAACTTCAATATTTTTAAATGTCTGTAGAATTTGAGCAATGAGCATGAAAATTTGCTAGTTTTAACATACAAACGTGAATTATTGACATTTTAGGAATAGCATTTGTGATGTGACCTTTAAACCAAGACTACATATGGGAAAACAAAAAGAAGTGGGGAATTTTTTGTTGTAAGGTTTTGCTGTTGAAGTAATGATTTTATTAATAATGTTATAATTTTTTTTATATTTCAGCCATGGAAAAGAGGGAACCCAATTACATTGCAACTGTTCTTCAGGAATTTTGTGATTCTTACATGAATCCAACTTTGGAAGATAAAGTGTCCAAAAAGAGGAAACCTGACGAAGAAGCACTCAGATCCAGTGCTCGACAAATAGGAGGTTCTCTGCGCTATAAAGAAATAGTCGTAAAGAAACACCAGAACTATATGCAAGTTATTTTAGTTCCCAATGGTGTAAAGAAGAATTCTTTGTCCATTGAAGTAAGCTGATTTTTTGTTTTGTTTTTAACTGTTGGTGTTTAGCACCATCACTTATTTCTAGGTACTACATTTTAAGTGTGTCATTCGATTGTAGTTCAAGTTGTGAGTATATTTATTTCTCTGCAGGCTATTAAAGAATTGCGGGATGCATTTCTGTTAGCAAAGAAAGATTTAAAGTGTAAAGCAGTTCTCTTGAACAGTAGTGGCTCTTATTTCTGCACTGGTATTGATCTCTCTCAGCTTATAGGGCCCAACAAAAAACAGACTTGTGAAGAAATGGCTTCTGTTATTAGGTAATAAGTTTTATTTTCTGTTGTCATTTTATTAGATATCTGTTTGTTTACATAATAAGAAATAAGTTCTTGTCAGATCTGTGGTAAAAATTATTTGATTGAATTTATTGGTTATTTGTTACTCAATATTCTTAGTGATATTTCATTGTATGCATTAAAAATTTCTAATAAGGGATGGCAATTTCTTCATTGTGGGAGTAAAATCAGCTTGGAATCTATTCTTCCAATCCAAGTCAAAAAAAGAATGAAAGAGACCCCTTTTTTAAAAAAAAGTTTTTGATTGCTATCAAGTTTAATTATTTAAATTTAATCTATTCCAATAGCACTTATTTCTAAGCACTTGTATTAGTCATTTCATCCACTTTGTCTAGTTCCTTCGATTGTCTTGGAAGGAATATGTTTCTTCTGGGCTAAGTGCCCTCTTATGAAGAGCCAGTGTTTGCATGTATATGACTTACATAATGGATGATTTAAGTCAAGATATAATCACTTGCCAGGTTTTTGGTCTGTACTACATACTAAGAATTTTCAGTGTTTGTATCCTTGGTTATCTAGGATGCATCCAAATATGCACTTTTATTTATGTGTTCTGTAGCATGTTTCTATTAATTAAGGTTCTCGCTAGTATGGCGACAATTGTTGCCAATTGTTCTACAAACATCTCTAAATTGATACGCATAGATGACAAATTTGTCGCTTTGAAATATTATATGTTTGGAATTTTCAAAATCGTGACAAAAAGTGACTAAAACTGCCTTAAAGTGTCCAAAACCTTAAACATTGAGCAAAGGTAAAATTTTTATATGTGTAACCATTGTACATATAATAATTACATATATTAATAAATATTTGATACTTTTTATACAATTTGCTTTAACTTATTAAAGGAAAANAAACCCAATTTTCCCCGGGTTTTTTCAAATAAAACCCAATTTTCCCCGGGTTTTTTCAATAAAACCCAGGCAGGTTGGGTTTTTTCAAAAATCCCCGGGTTTTTTCAAACCCTGTCTGTACTACATACTAAGAATTTTCAGTGTTTGTATCCTTGGTTATCTAGGATGCATCCAAATATGCAGTTTTATTCATGTGTTCTGTAGCATGTTTCTATTAATTAAGGTTCTCGCTAGTATTGTTGCCAATAGTAATTGTTGCCAATTGTTCTACAAACATCTCTAAAATGATACGCATAGATGACAAATTTGTCGCTTTGAAATATGTTTGGAATTTTCAAAATCGTGACAAAATATGACTAAAACTGCCTTAAAGTGTCCAAAATCTTAAACATTGAGAGAAGGTAAAAATTCTATATGTATAACCATTGTACATATAATAATTACATATATTAATAAATATTTGATACTTTTTATACAATTTGCTTTAACTTATTAAAGGAAAAGATTTATAACTTTTGAAGCTCTGTAATTCATTGAACAACGAAAATGAACAACTTATCAATTAAATATGAATAAATATGTTTTTAATACTGATAAATCATGTTTTTGCATAAGGATAAATAAATTCAAAAATAAAAGTAATAATAAACTTTTTTAATAAACTTGTCTGTTTCTTGTTCAAAAATTAAACTTTTATTTTTACCTATATTATTTTTAAAATTGTGGCATAATTTGAGTAAAAAGGTTCTGAACTGTTTCAGACAAAGGGGTTTTGAATAGGACAGTTTAAACCCTGTTTTTTTAACCGTGGATTAATCCATTCTGTCCTAAACCTTGCCAACTCTGATTTAAAACTCTTTATGTGATGCCAGTTATCAAGTTCCTGGAGTTGGAAAAGTTTGAAACGGGTTGCTTTAATGGAATTAAAATTACACTGTAAACTCCCGTGTAACTATGTAATTCAACCATAAATCAATAAGAAATTCAGTTTTTCCCCCTCAAATTTGTCTACCATATTAAGTTTTTGGACCACTAAATAAAAATCTAGGTGATTCTAATTGACCATTAAATGTTCATTGCTGGTGTGAACGAACCCTATTTATAATGCTTGTAACAGATTTGTTCCAGTATTGTTTTTCTCATTAAAGATACGCTATCTTTTTGCTTTACTAAGTTTCTGCACCTCTATTGCTAAGAACTTAGCAGAGATTCATCCTTGCTGATGTGACAAGCATTGATAGAAACATGTTATTGAATGTAAGACTAGTTTGTATTTGTCCCGGATGACTGAGGGTGCACGCATCGAACATTTATATCTGTAGTTTATATGGTGTATTTGGAGAGTGTTCATATCTTTACATGCATCACCCATCTTTGTGCATTTTATATTAGTAATCAACCAGTCTTTATGGAATTTGACAAATCATTTAGGTTAAAACTGTATTTGAAATTTTATAATTTATAAAATAAAGTCATTCTCAGAATATAAATGAGTTTTAAACCGTAATAAAATTATCGAGTACATCGAAACTGTAAATGAAATAAGAAATATTAAATTTCTTGTTCATAACTTGTCTGCAGAACACAAGAAGTCGAATCTTTAGACTGTCGTGCCTCATTGTTCCCCAACATTCCAGGCTTGTAGTTTGTAAAAAAGTATACTGGCATTTTTGATTGAGTATATAATTGAAATATTGTACTTAAAACTAAAAAAAAAAAATGTTATAAGCTGTAATGTATTCTAAATTGAAATTATATGCTTGTGCCCAGAGTATTAGGCTACATCTGTTTAAAATACATATCAAAATAGACGTATCAAAATACATATCAAATTTTACGCTGTTATACTTTATGAATCAACCCATTTATTCAATCAATCATCAGCTTATGGAGCCGTTTTGTATTAAGCTACGGAATCAAATGTTTATTTTGTGTTTTACTAATAACTACTTTTTATGCTTTTTGAGATTTTTTCATTATGTCTTCAAATCAATATGTCATATCTATAGCGCTGCCATAAATCATATAATGAAACAAAAATCATAAATTAATCTATATATTTGTAGGTTTAGGTATTAAAAATTTGTTTGCTAGTTTTCAGAATTGAGTATTATATTTAACAATGTGCTCCTCAAAAGACTTTAAGATATTAAAGTTGGATTTCATTTATAGAATCTAATTGTTGACAAACTTGTTAGTAATTAATTGTATTCAATGATTCTTTAATTTCTATTCCATAATTTTTTTCTAAAATTACTAATTTATAATAATTTGAAATTGTAGTATATGTTTTAATGAAGTTCAATAGAAAATGGTATTTTTTTCTTCTTTTTCCAGAGAACTTGTTCTTGTTCTGAGCACATTCACAAAACCCATTATAGCTGCAGTGAATGGAGCAGCTGTCGGCTTTGGTGTATCGCTTCTAACCTATTGTGATATTGTCTTTGCCAGTGACAAAGCAACTTTCTGCGTTCCTTCCCTTAGTATCGGATATGTACCTGAAGGTGGACTTACTCTTACACTTCCTCAAATTATTGGAAATTCTCGGGTATGAACATTTTTTAAAATTAATGTGTATATTTGGTGAAATATTTTAGAAATAATTTTGATTGTGTAAAGCCAGGCTTATATAAAATTTTTTATGAACGTAGCATTTCTATTAAAAAAATTTCTGTATGCATTGATTAACTCTTTTAACTAGTTTCCGCCTTTTCATCGCCATCTCATTTTGGAACTTTATGCAGAACTTTGTATATAAAGTTTTTACAGAACTTTGTATATAAAAACTAAACACTATTCATACCACAGGGATGAGTTAGGTTAAAAAACTAAAAAGCCAATTACAGAAATCTATAAAGTTATGTGCAAAAACACTTTATAAAAGTAAAATAGTTGAAAAAATACCTGATATTTGAGCAAGAAAAAGGTGTAAGTAGGAATCGTTTGTCCACATAATGTTATCAACGTTTAAATAAAAATATCAATGGGAGATTATATTTATTTGTTTAAATTATGTGAATACAAATATCTACATTTAATTTAATAAATTGCGTGAATACGAATCTCGGTGTTTGATTTTAAAATCGTGTCAATGCAAAACCTCATTGTTTGATTTTTCAATTGTGTAAATATGAATTTCGATGTAAAATTAAAAAAAAAAACTATACTGAACTTGAATACGAATCATAATAGTGGCTTTAAAATCTTATGAATCCGATACATATTAATTGATCTAAAATTGTGGAAATATGAAACATGTTGCATGATCTTAAGTTGTGTGAATAGGAATTAAGATGTGTAATTTTAAATCATGTGATTGTAATTTTAAATAGCGTTTGCATTGGTAGGAAAAGTCAGAAAGAAAATTTTTTCTCAGGAATTTGAAAAATATAAACTTTCTTTGAATAGGCAATTTTTTCTTCTTTCTTTTTTAGTAATAGTAAAAGGATTTCTGCGATGATAAACAAATTTTCCGTGAACGGAGTTCTCATTCGTGTATCTTATACAGCTTAAAAGAACAGAAAAATGTACTATTTGTTTATTCCAGATATGCCAATTCGCTCTGGAAAAGCAGATAAATATTTTTGAGTGGTAGCCTTTTAATATGTGATTCTTGGTTTGATAAATTTGATTAATAGGGCATTACCACACCCAGGGTTCATTCTAGACTAAAAAAAGGGCAGGGTGCTAAAAATTGAAAAGGGCACTATACTTTTAAAAAAAAGGGCAGCAAGTTTAAAAAAGGACATTGCATTTTATAAAAAGGGCAGATATCTTAACCTTCTTTGCATAGTTAAAATGAATAATTATATATAAGTTTACTTTTATCACTANTCATCTCTGTGATTCTGAAGATTTGTGGTTGACTGTTTGACAAAACCGCTCAGGATGGAAATTGTTATTAATGAATATCCTATGATTTTTTGTGTGTGTGATTTCTGTAATCTTTTAATGAATTGATGCAGAATCAGTTTAAATAAGCAAATCAATTAAAGACCTTGGTCTTAAACAGTTTATAATAACATAATCATCTAAATTTAGACTTGAATTTGTATAGATTATGCTTTTTTTAAAAAATGTAATACCTTTAAAACATTTAATGTGTTGTGATACATGGGTGCCACTCTTTATTCCTGGGGACTGAAAATAGTCTATAGAAAATCAGTAGATTAAGTTTTATAAATTAATGTCTATTTTTAAAATTTTTTATTTTTTGAATTATAGAGAGATAGGCCAAAACATAAATAATGATGAAATGAAAAATAGGTTGAGTTAAGTATAGCTTCATGAAAAAATTAGTGGTTTATTATACAATGATTGATGTAAAAAGAGGATCAAGGTTAGCTGTTATTTTTATCTTGTTTGCTGTAAAAAATAAATTAATAAAATATGAAGAAACAATGCTCGATAATTGATTTAATATATAAGTCCTTATCATAGAAAGGTACATTTTGCAGTCAGTGAGCTATAAATTTCTGAAAATTCTAGTAAACAACTCTTGATTGTGTTAATTGATCAAAAATATAAGTGCAGTTTTGAAATGTTTTTTAAAGTGACACCCATGNAGGGCGCATTCAATTATATCAGGGCGGGATAAAAGGAGTAAAGGGCAATAGGGCGGATATTTCATATCAAAAGGGCATACGGGGCGGGCCGCCCCGTAAACCCCGCTTAGAATGAACCCTGCCACACCACTACTTTTAAATAATTCAAAGGTATATGTGATATACCACTTAGTTAGGCTATGTTTAGTTTTTTTTAAAAAGTTCGCAAAATTAACCAAAAATCTGCAAAATTTAGTTAGCACTTCTCTATTATTTTTAAAAAATGCATTGTCGAGTCTAGAGCAGTTGTCATCTCTGTGATTCTGAAGATTTGTGGTTGACTGTTTGACAAAATCGCTCAGGATGGAAATTGTTATTAATGAATATCCTATGACTTTTTTTGTGTGTGATTTCTGTAATCTTTTAATGAATTGATGCAGAATCGGTTTAAATAAGCAAATCAATTAAAGACCTTGGTCTTAAACAGTTCATAATAACATAATAATCTAAATTTAGACTTGAATTTGTATAAATTATGCTTTTTTTAAAAAATGTAATACCTTTAAAACATTTAATGTGTCATTATACATGGGTGCTACTCTTTATTCCTGGGGACTGAACATAGTCTATAGAAAATCAGTAGATTAAGTTTCATAAATTAATGTCTATTTTTTTTTTATTTTGAATATTAAAATTTCTGTTTCTCCTTAAATTTAGCAAATTTTTTCTGTTAAATGAAAATTACATTTTAATGTAAACATTGTTGATTTTCATAAATATTGCAAAATGATCAAGTAATGATGTAGATCATTAATGAAAGAATGAGATTGAACTTCAATGCCTGTTTGCTTTGACGATATTTGTACTATTGTTGTATCTAAAAATTTTTTTTTTCTCCGAACTTTTGACTTGCTGTCAAAAGTTAAATTGAGATTATTATCTTTTTTTAAAATTTTTTATTTTTTAAATTATAGAGATAGGCCAAAACATAAATAATGAGGAAATGAAAAATAAGTTGAGTTAAGTATAGCTTCATGAAAAAATTAGTGGTTTATTATACAATGATTGATGTAAAAAGAGGATCAAGGTTAGCTGTTATTTTTATCTTGTTTGCTGTAAAAAATAAATTAATAAAATATGAAGAAACAATGCTCGATAATTGATTTAATATATAAGTCCTTATCATAGAAAGGTACATTTTGCAGTCAGTGAGCTATAAATTTCTGAAAATTCTAGTAAACAACTCTTGATTGTGTTAAATGATCAAAAATATAAGTTCAGTTTTGAAATGTTTTTTAGAGTGACACCCATGGTGATCTAGTTAATAATTCTTAGAAAAGAAATCTGATTTCAATAAATTTATCTTAGTTTAATCCAAAAGATAAGTTTTTTTTTTAGAATTTAAATTTCTTTACCCTTTGTAATAGATGGTATTAAACTCATTTAATGGGAAAAGTTTTTTGAATTTCCTCAGTTTTAATAGATTTGTGTGATTATTTTTCAGTGTTGTGAAATGTTGCTGCAGGGATCGAGATTAACAGCGTCTCAGGCTCATCAAAAAGGTCTCGTTTCTGAAGTACTGTGGCCATCCAGATTTATGAATGAAGTTATGCCTCGTGTGCTGGCTGTTATATCACAACCATTGCCAGTAAGTCATTAACTCATAGAAATTTTCAGGAATGCCAACTATATTCACAACAAAGTTAACCTTTTAATTTTCATAAAGACTTAATACACCCTTTTTTTCTTTATGAATTTCACTCTTGTTCATTTTCGCATCTTTCCCATCATGCAGGTGCAATGTATAAAATTAAATTAAACTATTATACAAAATTGAACAGGGGTATTTCATCAGAAATTTCTTTTATTGATTCCCTAATTGCAGAATTAATACAAAATGAAATATTTCTTTTTTGAAACTATTTTTGTCTTTTTTATATATAATGTATTTCTATTATCTTTAATGCAATTTTTTTCCCTGTATTGTAGTGTTATATTTTTTAATTGCCATAAAATATACAATAAATGTATAAATTACAAATATTAATTTTTAGTGGTTCACTGTATATTTTGACCACGACACTGCCAGTACATACTGCTATATTAGACTAGAATTTTTTAAAAACACATCTGATAAAGTCAGAGAATTTTATTCTTCTATTTAAGTAGCAACACTGTAGTTAGTTCATCATTGTGCTGTATGGTATAAAAAACCGATGATGAGCTATACTCTTCATTTTACAGGAATGTGATAATTTTGTTAGTGAGTATCTAGCAGGGTTTAAGCTGAGTCTAAAAATTCATTAGCAAAAAAGCTAAAATCTGAAAAAAAGTTTTAGCAAAATGCTAAAATGCCATTAGGCTTATAAAATTACTTTATATCAAACAAGTACTGTAAGTTATCTGACAAAGAATAGCTTAATGTACAAGNTATTTCTATTATCTTGAATGCAATTTTTTTCCCTGTATTGTAGTGTTATATTTTTTAATTGACATAAAATATACAATAAATGTATAAATTACAAACATTAATTTTTAGTGGTTCACTGTATAGTTTGACCACGACACTGCCAGTTCATACTGCTGTATTAGACTAGAATTTTTTAAAAACATATCTGATGAAGTCAGAGGATTTTATTCTTCTATTTAAGTAACACTGTAGTTAGTTCATCATTGTGCTGTATGGTATGAAAAACCAATGATAACATATACTCTTCATTTTACAGGAATGTGTTAATTTTGTTTGTAAGTATCTAGTATGATAGGTTTGGTTGGCATAGTTTGCCCCTAAACAAATTCTGCACTTATTTTCATGTGAAAAAGTATACAAATAAAAAGAAACCAAAAGAATTTTGATGCACAGACTGCTAATAAAATATGCGTTGAGGTCTCATTTTCAAATACTAAAAAATGCCTCTAATTTATATTTTTTTAGTTGACAAATTTTTACAATATTATCTTACATGTTAGGCTTTACATGTTAGCACAAAATGTTTCAGCATTACCAACTTATTTGGTACTAAATTTTTTTTATTTAGTCATGTAGTATGTGCATCAATGTTTTTTTTTTTCATTCTGCCGAGGACCTCAAACAATATGTAGTTAAAGTGCTCCTTGTAATTTTAATAACTTTTATTCTGCATAATTGTTTGGGATACAATATCCAGAGTATGCTTGTCCTTGAAAGAGAAATTCTTTTACTGGATTCAAGTGTCTGTCTCTTAAAATACAGAGGTGTTTAGTTGGGCAAGTGCATGTGTGGTAGGTTTCATAAGATTCAGCTGTTATATGTCCACAAAAGTCACCAGATTTGCATGTTCTATGCTGTAAGAAAATCAAAGTTAGCAATAAACCTGTCTTGGTTACAATCAGAGGTTTATTTAGATAATGATTTAAGTAAACTTATTATTTTTTTAAGGAAAAAAAAATACTTGATTGATTTTAAAGAGAAACCATCAATATCAAAAGTTATGAAGTATTTTAATGTGCGATTTTAAATTTTTTCTTGATTTTCATAGAGGAAAAACATTGTTTTTCATGGATAAGACTTGGAAAATTAGTAATGAAGTTAAAAAAAAAATTAAACATTGGAAATAAAAACTATTGTTGTACTAAAATTTAGTAAATAAAAGTGGTAATGCTGAATTAAACTTATTCAATAAAAAGAATAACCATACTAAATGGATTTCATTCATTACAGGCTGGGGCATATTTTCATAATATTAGAATTCAAAAAGTAAAAAATTAAGTTTAAAAAAAAGTAATTTTTCAAATTTCCTTCTTTTGTTCCCTCTCCTGTAATGCTTGGCATAATTTACATTACTTTAAAGTGGCAAATTTTAATTTAAAAAAAATTCTGCTTAAAATTTTTTGTATTAGGGGGGAGGGGAGATGGATAGTCTAATGATTTGCCTCTAAAGTCACTCACAAAAGCTTTGTGATTAAAATGCTCGGAGTATCTATGGTACTTAGAGTTTAAATATGCATTTTTTTCTTTTACGTTTTTGTATTTAAACTAAAGATTCCTTTTTTGCAATCCCTATTCCTTTGGTTTTTTGAACCAGTTTTAACATGTTACAATGGTGGCATGTTCATGGGTGCAACTCTTCAGTCCTGAGGGCTGAAATCAAACTTTAAAAAAGATCCTGTGAATTGAATGATGTTCTCTGATTAATATATCTTTCCAATTTGTTTTTTAAATGAAGTTTTTGACAAAAAAATTTCCTTATGAAATGTAAAAATTTTTTTTTTGTTAGAATAAATAAAAAATATATTACTTTTTTGAAAACATTTTTATTTTTCATAATTCATGCAAAATGATGAATTAATGACATCACATCACCTTGACTGATTTTCTACATTTACTTGTGTAAATAAAATTTGTACTGTTGAATTCGCTTGAGTTTTGTATTTTTTCTCTCAACATTTTCAGATGCTTTGTAAAGCTAACTTAGGATTATTTTTTAAAAAATGATCTAGGACAAAACATAAATGATGAAGTGAAAAATAAATAGGATATAAATGGGTCCAAGAAAAATTTTGAATTCAGCAATTTATGTAAAATTATGTACAAAGTTAGCTGTTATTTTAAAACCAAACAACATGCTTTTACAATTTAAATAATTTCTAGTAGAATTTTATCAATAATAATGAGAAAAAAACTTTATTTTTCTTAAAAAAAATGTATGGATGTTAATTTTAATAATTAATCTAAATGAAGAATAAACTTGAATGTTAATAAATTTTATCGAAAATGTATTTAGTCTGAAAATAATTCAATTCAAAAAATTATTCTTTTTAAATATATTTCATAAAAGCACTAACTACTTAATTAAATTCAATTCTTTATTAAATTCAATCCTTCAATCCTTGGTTCATTTTATTTTAAATGGAAAAGGTATTATTTGGCAATTCTACATTTGGTTCCCTTTTTTTTTCTCTTTCTTCTGAGTTATCAGTTCTGATAGATATAAGTTCTCCGAAAAAAAAACAACAACAACAAAATCTCTAATGCACATTATTTTATGTTAATACATGTAAATCTATAGTTCTGTTACCCTGAATGACCGAAATCAAGACTGTCGACTTTCACCGGTGAATCTTAACATTAATTAATCTTAATTTGGTGAATTTTAATATCTGCTTGGGATAGATTAGGAGAAGCATCAGTGTTCGGAGTATCGGTTAAATGCATATCGGGCAGTAGCACTGAACCTTAAAAAAACATTGATGTAGGGTAAACCAGGCGAATGAATATTGGGCAGTGGCACTTAACTAGACCTATTATATATTTTGGACATTAACCAAAGTCACTATGCGATTGTCAATATTATTCACTTGTGGAAGCCAAGAACAATCTATTTTGGACATTAACAGTTCTATTGTTTATATTGAGAGTATGAAGGTAAATTAAGCTTTTAGCATATGAACTTACATTATTGGTACTTCAATAAAAGTTTGATAAAGTTTTTAATAAAATGCAGTAGAATAGTAATTTATATTAGAACAATTTGAAACTTTATTGGTTAATATAAATCTGAGATTTCAAAATAGTTAATAATGCAAGTAACATTAAATGATGTGATAGCTTATGCTTTCCTATTTTCGTGAAGATTTGCAATCTTCAATAGTACAATTTTTAAAAAAATGCTGTAACACACCAATTTTATTTCAAAACGCAACATTTAAAAACCTGCTCTTATCAGTTGACAAACTTTTCCTCTCCTCTTTAAAAAAAAAAAGTGTTGATCTACTAAATCAAATAATTTCAATTTGGTGGTCTACACGGAAAGATTGGTGAGCATTACTCAAAACAATGATGAGAAAAGTTCTTTCATTAGACAAACTACTTTAATTTTAAAATAGTGAAAAGTAATTTTTAAAGAATTTTACCGAATACTTACTGGAATGCATGCAAAATATTGCCCAGTTTTGTCTTCATAAAGTCTTCTATAGAAATTACCATTTCCACAAAAACAATGGATTGTTATAGTTCCATTGGTGACAACTTCTGCTGCTAATGTGGTCTCTCCTTCACATTGTTTTAGTTCTCCAACTTCAGTACAGAACTTCAAAAAAGACAATAGAAACAGGAAACTTATTAAATTTGTTATTTTCTGCAGTGCTTTCTTTTTTTTTTCTTTTCAAGTGAAGCTTTTGAAAATTTCATTAAATTAGTTTGTGTAGTAAATAATTTTTTTTCAAAAATTTTGATTGAATATTTATATTAGTTATCCCTACTGAAAGTTATAACATTGTGTTAGAAAACTAAATGTGCATTTGTTTTTATTTCAAGTTTTAATTTAAAAGAAAAAAGTAGTTTTTTTAAATTTATTGTTTGAATTATTTGTAGAGTAAAGTTTCAAGCAAGTGAAGCTAAAAATAGACCTGTTTGTTATATTTATATATATATGCATGTTTCTAATGGTTTCTACAGTTAATGAAGGAAACTCAATTTACAATTGATTTTTTTTAAACAAAATACTGGATTGATTATTCTGCAAACTTATAACTAACTTTAAAATTGAGTAATTATATCTTTTTGTAAATATTCCGAAGTATGGTGTTTAAGGAAAAAAGTATAAATAAAATATATTTTCAAACATCCTATATGCTATAAAAATTAGTTATCAATTTTAATCATGACTTTCTTTATTTTGTACACTTGGTTTCATAAAAGTAGCATACACAGGTTGTTTCGAAATGTTTACCCTTAATATGTTTAATAATATAATTTTTAGAATTTTTGTCAGATTAAGTGGGAGGTTTCAATTTAATTCTTAACTGAGAAGCAGCAAATTTAAATCTAAAATGTTGTCTTAATGTTTCGTAATGTCTTAATGGATGATTGAATGAGTCCTGTAAATTGGGTTGCGATGTGTGTGTGAAGTCATTTTTTTTGGCTTCAGATGGTGCTACTAAAAACAAGAAACACACCCTTTGTCTTAAATTTGCTTGGTTCCCCAAGCAGGCTTGTTGGGATGGCAAGTAGACAATTGAAACAACATGGTTTGAAAATGTTTTGTTTGAAATATTTTAGTGGTTCTCCTAAATGTATGAGAAAGTGGGAGATCTGAACATCCAGATTTCTTCTCATGTTTATACTTATGGTAGGAATTTATTTGAATTTCAATTCAGATTTCATATCTGGCAGGGAAAAGGGTTGTTTAGTTAAAAAAATAAATTGTGATACCTTCAGCTGAGCCCTTGCATTGAAGGTTATTGTCTTCTTGTCTTCACTCCATTCTGGTGGGCAATCCGTTCTGTCAGAACACTTGCAGAGTCTGTGGGTGAGGGGGGTGAGCCAGAACCTCTTGTGGATGACATTGCAAGCCTCTTTGGGACCTCCACACAATGGTAGATTTCTTTCAGAGGTGGCCTACGACACAGAATTATATTATTTGCCTGTTGCACTTTCTAGTAGGGTTTCTATTGAACCCTTTGTGATCCTATTGAGTTTATACTCTGAATTAGTTTTTGTGGAATGAGCATAAAAAACAGAATAATGAAATTAGAAATTTATAAAAGCGTTGTGATACTTGTAAATACAATTTATAAAATATTTTGAATTTTATCTAGTAACGCCAGTTTAAGAGGATGCTATACCGTGAAAGAAATCCTTTATGGCACATATACAAGTATTTTAAAATTGAATGTTTAAAAAAAAGTGAGTACAGGTAAAAACTACAAACTTTCAAATGCTGCTCATTTTTTCCCTTTAAAATATCAAAAGGCAAACAAATTATAGGAGGATTACGTAGTGTGGAAGTTATCCTGTAGCCTACCTTTTGATATTAAATTCCCCCCCCCCCTGCATTAGAAACTTCCTTTACCTAAACACAATATTTTCCCCACAGGGCCTTAGAAATGGACACTGGTTAGAGATGGTTCTTTAGTGTGGTAAATGTGCGAGTAGACCGCACATTTGACTGCAACAGTTACAACAGTGGTCAGAAAAAACATTATTTTTGTAGTTTATGCTACAACTACTTTTATTTTAAAATGTAGTGACTACGAACTACTTTGGAATTGTAGTAACTACTTTAAGAAAGCGAACTTTGCTGGAGAATTTAATTTACTCCTTTGTTCAAAATTGGCTTATATTTATTCATATGTACAGTTTGTAAATCCAAAATAGCATTTTCGAATTTGTTCATTTAATCTTCAACTTTTTATGCATTTCTCGACAGCGAATATTTAATTTAAGAAAGGCGAAATTTGAAATTTTAATTGTTTAATGCTCTTTCAGTTCCTCTAAAAAATCAAGTACATCGGAAATATGTTCCCTTCCTTTTACAGAACATCAATATTTCAGGAGTGTAATTCACATTTGAAAGTGTGATCAAAATAATTAATTATCTATTTTTCGAAATGGCTGGTTTAAATATAAGTTATACGGTATTCTAAGTACGTAATTCCTGTCAACGCTCAGCTGCAGCCACAGGGTCATTTTCATTTAATTCGTAGACGGACCCACAAAGATTTGTGCCTATCTAATTCGAAAAATTAATTGCGATAAAGCCGCATTTTTTACTAAACTATCGTTAAAAGTAGTTTCCAGGAATCTCTATAAACTACTGTTTTTGTCGTATCGCACTACAAACTACGATAACAGGGTGCGAAGCGTTTCTAAAAAGTGCTTATTTTCGTTTTTAAAAGCCCTTAAAGGTGCTTTTTTCGTTGGTAGTTTTTAAAAAAGTATTTAATTTTCCCTTTATTGATTTTCGCCACGCATTATGCGAAAAGACACTTCATATTGTCCTTACATACGGTCCTTACCATATGAGAACTCCATTCGTTTTATGATTCAAAATTTTACGATTTTTGACAATTGTCAAAAACTATGCCTTTTTTTTTAAGCATGACGGTTAAATCCGGATAAAACCATCAATTGTCGAAAACTTGGCAACCCTGCCTTATTATATTTTCTTAAAAGTGCTTAAAAATATTCTTGAGTGCTTGAAAAGTGCTTATTTTTTGTTGAAAAATTTGGCTACGCACCCTTTAAAAAAAGTAGACTTCATTAGTTATACTACTTTTGCGCTGCTACATCCGACCACTTAGTTAAAAAAAAACTTAGTCGTCTGAGAATAGATTTACAACTCGAAAAGTTTTATCAAATTTTTAGTCTATGATACATTTTGGTAGTTAGATGAATGCTTTTGTACCATCATTTTAACTCAGTATCTAAAATGCATTTTATTTTGCTATCTTTAGTTCAAAGTAATAAAAAAAAAGAAAGTCCTAGAGATACTGGGTTTCTTTTGTAGCATTATTCTTTAATTAAAATTTAAATTATTTTCTACACTCAGTAGATCAGCTACAGTGAATCTGTAATATTTTAAACTTGGTTTATATCATTCTTAAAGTGTAAATTCCTAGTTATCTACAGAGTGCAATTTTAATAAATCGCCCCCTGAAAACCTTAGCTAATAGGGAATAACCCATAGTAGATAGTTTCCTGTTTTAGCTAACACTAAAATTTAAAGTCTTATCAGAAGAATCTCAGTTATGTTTTCATACTGATTTTGTTTTACACCTCCTTAGCGAGATGCTTGTTACAAGGCAACGAAATTCTGGTGTTGCAATATAACCTTCAAATAAAAAAAAATAGCTATCATCTTTAAAGTATTGTAAATTAAAAGTAAAACTCACCCCATTAGCATAAATGATATACGATTGCACAGTTGAAATCCAATAAAGAAAGGTAAACAATGTGATCTGACTTCGCATCTTTCTTTTGCAGGTGATGGAGGCAACGAAACTTCTGGTGCGCGCCAATATTTGGGATAAATTGAGATCCCACATGGATGTGGAACGTCGACTCCTCGTCAATCATTGGCTGGCTCCTCAATGCCAAGAAAATATTAAACGGGTCCTGCGTCTGGATTCGCTCATCGATTGAAAGATTATCTGTTTTATTTCAACCACCCTTTTTTTCCCCTTCCTTTTCTTCTTCCTCCTGACTAAAATAAATAGTGAACGTTGCACGTTAATGCTTATATTATTAATGTTTTACTTTTTTTCCTCTATTGTATTTTGGAAAATAAAGACTTTAGTTTTCTTAAATGTGTGTCAGTTGTCTCTTCTGCATACGAAGCATGTCGAAAATTGAAATCTAATATGCCAGAGAAGAGTTTCTAAATTGTTAGGATATCTTTCTATTGGAGGGACGGACGAAATAAATCAAAATTTGATGGATTTCTGTACTTTAGCTTGATTAACAGGAAATTTCCTTCTGTATTTTAGTTTTTAAAAAAGTTATTATTTTTTTTTTGACACTTGAATTTTATGTCTTTGTATTCTATCATTTTTTCCCCTCCATTTTATTATATAAACGCCGTTGAACATTGTATTTTAGTTTTTAAAAAAGTTATTATTTTTTATGACACTTGAATTTTATGTCTTTGTATTCTTCCATTTTTTTGTCTCCATTTTATTATGTAAACGCCGTTGAACAGCTGACGCAATTTCGAATGCACGACTATCAATGTTCTATTTTGTAGCTTTGTAATTTTAAACGTAACCCAGAAGACGAGGAAACTCGTGGTTCAAATATTGGGACAAACTAGACTTCGTGGATTACTTTTTGGTGGAACTTACCAGATTGTGCGTGGCACGAGGAGGAAAATCTTCCACAGCTAACCCGACGGCAAGATGATTTAAACCCTTGATCCGTCTAACTTAGAGAGAAAATTTTCCGTCAGTGGCTGGGATTTTAACCTGGGTCACCTTATTGGGAGGCGAATTCCCTGATCCATTGTGGCTCTCTATTCTTAATTAAGAGATAGAAATTGATAATTTTTATTTACCTTTAAACCATTATCAGCTTCATTAGCGATGGCCTTGCTAACAACCAGATAGGCTTTACAGGGAGTGAAGGGAACGGCGTTTAAAGATTTTTATTTATTTATTTCCAATGGCACATTAAAAGACGGACATCAAAAAGAAATCTATAAATAAGACAGGGTGCGTAGCGTTTTTTAAAGGTGCTTATTTTCGATTTTTAAAAGCCCTTAAAGGTGCTTTTTTTCGTTGGGTGTTTTTAAAAAGTACATAATTTTCCCTTTACTCTGTTGATTTTTGCCAGGCATTATGCGAAAACACATTTCATTTTGTTCTATTCAACGTTTTCACAATTATTTCCACCCCAATCTATTTCGGCGTACCGTCGGTCCTCTTAGCATATGAAAACGTCCTTCGTTTTATGATAAAAAATTGTATGATTTTTGACAATTGTCAAAAGCTGTGCCAAAAGTTATTATTATTTTTTTTTTTTTAACATAACGGTTAAATTCGGATAAAATCGTCAATTGTCAAAAACTTTGCCAACCCTGCCTTATTATATTTTCTTAAAAGTGCTTAAAAATATTTTGAGTGCTTGAAAAGTGCTTATCTTTTGTTGAAAAATTTGGCTATGCACCCTGATAAGAGCGAGCAATCCAGTAGCGTTCTCAGATAGATTTCCGAGGGAGAGCAGGGCACCTAGACACAGGTGGGACAACCCCATTGGTGTCTTGGGATATTCATCCACTTTTAGATGCGCGTGGATAATTTTTTTTTAAATTTTTTTCCGCACATGCGCTGTACGAAGCAACTACTTCAATTACTCTTATTTGGCGCAGTTTTTATTATTATTTTTTTAATTTTAAAGCAATAATTTCGTTATCAGTTTAAAATTGATTCAAACGCTTTTTTAAATATTAAAGCTATAGCAAAAATGGCACTAGACCTAGTATATATTTCGGACAATTACCAAAGGGATTATGTAATTGTCAACATTCACCGGTGGAGATCAGCAATCACCGATTTCGGTCCCTCACAGTAACATTAAGACGAAAGAAAATCACCGCTTTGTAAAAATAAGAAGCTTTGGTGGTCTAATTTTTAATAGTGGGAAAGTAATGTTCAACTACGTAGCCTTGTAATTTTGAACCCAATCCGGAAGACAAGGGAACTCCTGGATCAAGTATTGGAAGAANCTATATGTTGAGCCACCTCAGCTAGATTTGTCATGTGACATTTTTAGCGGCGATCATTGGTCGATTTCCTAGCGTTGCCATTCGAGGAGTTGTAATGAGGCTTTTTTTGTCGCCGTGTAAGAGAAATATATATATAGATTGAATTCTAAGATAGAGTGACCACTTTGATCAGATTACGAAGGGACCGAGGGTGTGCGGTATCAGTCCTGATTAACTGTTCTACCGTGAAGTGCTCGACTTCGCCTGCAGGTCGATGGGCTAGCACAGCGGGGAGTCATCCCCTCCGAAGAGGATTAAAATTGTGATGACATGTCTTCGGATCATACTAGGTGATGTTTCCCACATCTTCGCCAATTGCCCATCGTGCAGCTCTAGTACGATGTAAATTGATTACAACTAAAAAGCAATTCGTCGACTCAAAAAACACCAAGAATTATATTTTTGCAAGAAAGATCACCTAAACTGGAAAGATAGAATTAACTTAAATTTTTTTGAATCGCATAAATATGGCTCGTTTAAAATGGGATTTTCCAGTTAAAAGCGAGCTAATGGACTTTTACCAACTGTTTCCAATTTCTTTCGTTAAATCAAGGCTGGATTATAGAAGGAGCGAGTTCGAATATAAATATTAATAAAAATGAAAATCGAGATCGTCAAAAATCTAAATTTAAAAAAAAAAAATAGTTTTTTTAATATTTTATTTAAAGTTTTTAAAAATTTAAATCACATTTCTTTTAACATATTTTAATTTAAACTCTGATGAAATGTATTAATAATTCTTAATATTATTTAAACTATATGATAACAGAAATATGTAATGTCTCCAACTAAAACGGATGAAATTATTATTTAATTACTGCTAACTCTGATGAAATGTATTAATAATTCTTAATATTATTTAAACAATATGATAACAGACATATGCAATGTTTCCAACTAAAAATGGATAAAATTATTATTTAATTACTACTAACTACACATTGAATAAAATCATAATAATTTTATTAAAGTTGAACACCCTAATGTATTTGCACTTAAATTTCATTACTTATTGCAAATTTAATAAGTTTTAAAAGTACTTGTATTTAAATAAATTTAAAACTAATGGATATAATTAAAATTAAGTGTTTTAAATCATGTTGAAAATTCAAAAGATTTCCGACCTACCGATTTCTGTGTTAATCTGATCTTTTCGAATTGATCTAAAAATTACTTATTTACTTTACTCTGGAAGCGTCTTCATAGTTTCGTAATCATAGTTATCTTGTTAAATTTCAGAATTATTTTCGGGATCAAGATTTGATAAACTCTGACCTCAAGAAGGGGAAAAATACATTTGTTTATAAACATTCTGTTGGTTCGTTTATGTATTTTTCAAAATCTGGAGGAAGAGGTAAATCTTTTATCTTCTTGTGTTGCGCTTATTCGTAAATTTCTAAAATTTTCTGTTCAGTTGTTAAAAATGTCCTTGTTTAACTTCAAAATCTCACAGAATCGGATCACGTGATCTATATCACACCTAGGCGGTTATTTTATTTCTACGAGTGAGCATTTAATTAAAAAGATAAGCAAATAAATTCTACGCACCGTTTGTAATAGTTTCTTATTTCCAGAATATTACAGAAATCAGCGGTTCCCAAATGATGTTCCGCGGAACCCTTGGATTCCGTGGAAGGGTCACAGGGGGTTAGGACTTTTATTGTTTGACTAGGTTCTTTCTTTTGCATGGTACTGAAAAATTTTACGTCAGTCTTTCTAAATAGCATGGTACTCCGTAACAAGGTAAGAAAAGACCATTGCGATATAGGATTTAAGTAATCATCCCCTTACTACATACAGTTCCGTTTTCTTTCTTGATCAAATTATGCAAATATGTTTTCAAAACAATATAAAAGCTTTTAGAAATTAAACACGCCAGACAGAAATTTAATGGGTGCTCTCTTTTACGATATACATCATAGAATTATTAAAAAAAGTTATAGTTTCGTAGCCTTACTGATATCCTTGACTAGGCGAACATTTGTTTTTGAAAAAGAAACAACTATATGTCGTTGTAAGAGCATGGGATTTGATTGGACCACTAAACATGGCGCGTTTTATTATGGCATGCTCTTAACAAATCAAATGCCATATAATTATTACTTTTGTTTCGCTGTTGACCAAAATCGTTTGCAAGAAACAATATTTATTATTCTTTTATCAGTTTCTTTAAATTCGAACAGAAAGACGCATATTTGTTACAATCTTCCTATATCATTTTTATTAATTCTTATTACGTGTTAATTGATTATTATTGTTAATAACTGTTATTATTATTGATTAGAAATCAAGCAAAAACGAGGCTGTGCAACGTAATTTCAAGAGTTGGCGATATTGTTATACGTTTACGCTAGAAGCTTGGCGTTTAATTTGGCGTGCGCTTAGATGCAAACAGGCTCTCTCCATAGGGATAATGATTATTTATTAACATAAAACAGAGTATAGTGTCCTTTATCGTATATGAAAAATGCCATCTATTGATCGAAGTGGAAACTAATTTTACTGTCAATATCTTTTTCCATGTTCATGTAAAATAATACCAAATTTCTTCGATAACCGTTCACCAAAACGGATTTTACATTATTCCAAAAGAGCAACTTCAATTAAAACCAACCTGTTGGCCACACGTGTGTTAGTTATTTAAAAAAAATCCCCGTTCAACTATGTGTTAAAAAAATTAACTAATATCAGCTGTGTTTAACCTGTATGTTAAAAATATTGAAGGAAATTCGTTAAAGTTAACAGCAATATGCTGTAGCTTGAAACATACTACATCTTTCTAACATCAGTCACATATATCAGTGGTTCCCAAATAGTGTTCCATGGTATCCTGAGGTTCCGTGATTCATAGAGGCTCCGAGTGTTAAGAATTTTTTTAAAATCAATTATCATTTTCGAAACCTGTCATTAAATTTATATCCGATTAATTACCTATTATTCATTTTATAATTTCGTTATTTTTATGAAATTATTTCATTAAAATGCTTGTGAAGAAAGAAATAAGCAAAACGAACAAAAATTCTAATAATGAGGACACATTTATGAAAAATTGCATTTGCATAGAATAAAAAACCAAATTTAACAATGAAGAAATATGCCCCTCTAATAACCATTTTCAACATTTATTTTGGTCCTGTTTCGTCTTTATTTCAATGAGAAAACCAAGTTTTAGGTCAGGTATATTCAGTAAAATCAAATTAGATTTTATGCCACTCCTGACCAATAAATCTAACTGTCTGACATAATAGTATTGGTAAAATGATACTATGAAATTTTTTTTATTTTTTATTCATTCATTAAATATTTTTAAAATAATTAATAAAATTTCAATAATTATATATTTTTAAAATAATTAATAAAATATCAATCATTAAACATTTTCAAAATAATTAATAAAATGCCAATCATTAAATATTTTTAAAATAATTAATAAAATTTCAATCATTATTTTTTCTACAAAATAATTAATAAAATTTCAATCATTAAATATTTTCAAAATAATTAATAAAATTTCAATCATTAGATAGTTTAAAAATAATTAATAAAATTTCAGTAATTAAATATTTTCAAAATGATTAATAAAATTTCAATCATAAAAAAATTTTTCAAAATAATTAATGAAATTTCAATCATTAGATATTTTCAAAATAATTAATAAAATTTTCATTAAATATTTTTATCTATTTATAAATTTATTTATTAAGTCTCGGGGTTTTGCTAAAAGATGAATGATCCTTTAGGGTTTTATAGTCGAAAAAAAATTAGGATTCACAGTTTCAAAGCAGTGGTTCCCAATATTTTTTTGCCTATGGAAGCCTAATGATCGAGTTTTATTATCTCAGAACCCTGACTTGATATAAAAAAAAAGTTCATTAGCGGCTGTGAATATACGAACCAAAAAAAGAAAAAAAGACTGCTAATTTTATAAATATTTAATGCGAAGAATGGAATATTTGAAATTCTTAATTGATTCTTGGCTTATGCCTATGCTGAAAATGAATAAATTAAGTTAAGATTTTCGCAGTTAAAAATATCGAAAATTTCTAACAGAGAAACATGATTCTTAATTTTTGAATTTAGTCATTATATTTTGATTTGAAAAGTTCGATGAGCAATACTTACAGAATTCTTTATTAATGCATATTCTTTTCATAAATTATTCAATAAATTATGATTGAAAAAAAGATTTTTAATTTTTTTTCATTGGCCTTTTACACATAATTTCATTTAAATAATCGAAATATTGAACAAATTATTTATAGTGGGATAACTGCGAGTGAGGTATCTTGAAAACTCTTAAAACTTCTGAGCTATTAGTTCCATCGTCTGAAGTTTGGTCTCATTTTAATTTGCATGCAGAATTTGTATCTTATTTGTCTAGATACCAATGTTTAAGTAAGTGTGAGGTTGAATTATATTTTATTACTTCAAGCATAAAATATAATTCAACCTCAAGCGGCAGGTACTTAACCTTTAACTACTGGCTCTAATTTTGCAGTAGTGACTGCAATTTTTAAGAACTTTAATCCTTAGCGTTCTCTGATTGGACTTGATATTGAGCAGTCAGAGTAAGATTAAAATAATTTTTACCCAACTTAAATGGTAGTTTGCGAACACTAACGCAAAGATCATTTCTTACTTAATAATAAATATTTAGCGCGGCAATTACAGAATACTCTGCATGATGTAACATATACACTCAGATGAATGAGTAAAATTTTCTTTGTCAGTAGGGTTTAAGAAGTCATCATCTCATCCTTTCATCATCCCAATTTGTTCATCATCCCAAGATGAAGGCGAGAGGTGTTGACAGCATTTACAGTTGGGTGGTGGCATTATCATGCGGCATTATATATATGATGATATCATGGCCAATGAAATTAGGATCCCTTCTCTTCGTAGAAATGATTGACAGGTATGACACGAACAGAAAAGATGCGTCCCTGCCATTTGCCTTAGCTTACTTAATGAGAAGTTTATCAAGTAAGAACTGTTTTTTGTAATTGTTTTACGTGTCTTAGAAGAGTTTCAGTTTTTGATAGTCCCAAGGGAACGCATTTAATTTTATTTTACAACCGGCGTTAAATAACTGACTTAATTTTGAATTGATGACGAGCATTGTTTAAATACGTAGCCTTGTAATTTTGAACCAAATCCTGAAAATAAGGGATTTCCTGGAATAAGCTTTGGGAGAAAGTAGCCTTCGTCGAGAATTTTTTGATGGAGCTAAACCGATACGTGGAAAGGAAAATCACGAAAATCTCTTACGGCTAAGCTGACGGTAAAGAAATCTAACCAATGTACCACTTCCGCTGAGGATATTTTACCTCAGCCGGTTGCAGAATTCGTATCAATCTGCCATCACTAGGATTCGAACCTGGGTCATCCTATAACCTCATTGGGAGGCATTAGCGAGTTTAATTTAGACATAGATCTGATGGAGAAGGAAATTTTCTCCAAATCCCTGTACTCATGCTCAGAGACTGACTACTAGACTTACGATTCCAAAGATTTTGCGAGCACGTATGCGCATGTGCTTAGTGGATGTTCGAGGAATCGAGGATCGAACCCCGGTCTTTCCACACCGGAGCCCGATTCACTAACAACTGTGCTACCCCGGCCCGATTCTGTTTTAAACATATCTACAATACATATATGTATTAAAATAATTTTATCATTATGGAATTTATTATTATGAATTTTTTTTTTATCATCATCTTCTTTTTTAGGTCCATTTGGCGGATATTTCGGCGAAAAATTCGGATTGCAACAAGTCACTATGTTTGGATGTATATTATGTTCCATTGGGGTCGGATTATGTTTCTTTTCTGAAGAAATCATATCGATCGATATTTTCTTAGGACTGATATATGGTAATAACTTTTATGAACTGGTCTTTAGTTTAAAATTCTTTCTTTCGATTGAAAGCTGAAGTTGATTATTCGAAATATCACCAAGTTTTATTAGTCAATCAAACTAGCTTTGGTGTTTTTAATTCTGCTTATCTCTTTATTATGTTCAATCAGACTTCGACTGCATTTTTGTTTCTTCTGCACTCGAATATTATTAAGCATTTTCTCTACTCTATTTCTGAGAAGTATCGAAATAAAATTAAATGTTAAAGTTGGTGATGAGAAAATATCTTTAATCAATGGATGGTTGACTAAATATAAACTACAACAAGCTTCCTACAACAGGAAGAAATTTAGAAAACTTCCGGTGTATCCCTCCGCTTATGTCATGCATAAGAGGTGATGTGTGAACAGGCTTAATATTCCAGGAAGTTTTATTATTGTGATTTGTGTTTAAATTTACGCGTTATTTTACTATTCATAAGAGTTTTCCATATTTTATAAATTCTAACAATTCGCGAGCCTAAAACAAATTTTACAGAATTGATAGCACAACATAAATAAAGTGTAAGGTTAACCATGTTTTGAGTGTTATCCCTTATTTGGCTATATTTGTGTAAAGTAGCACCGTTTATTACTTTTTGGGTAGCACTATAACAAACTTGCGGAGTCTTTCGAATTCATTTGTTGTTTGTTTTGTTGAAAGTTAGATTGAAAGAATGCGTTATATTGCAAATTAGTATAATAGTGTTTACAATATAATATTGAAAATTTAAATTGCGTGTTATATTGAAAAGAGTATAATATTATTGGATTTAGCGTTTTTTCAAGCTTAGGCGTAAAAATCAGTTGTTGGAAGTAGTAACCCTGAAGTCATACGACGAATTTCAACTCCTAGCGCCATCTATGCTTAGCTTTATAGGGTCAACCATCCATATTATTTACCAGCTCGATATAACATTTAATTTGATATCACACCTTGTTTTTCTTTTGTATTTTTGATGCTTTTTCAAAATGGAGGCCAAAAAAAAAAAAAAAAACGCGTGCGAGACGTATAGTATCTTTTGTTACTAAACAAGAACTTTATTTTAATTTTTGATGTTTTTTTTCAAGTTGGCGACAGAAAAACGCGTTTTGAACACTTAGATTTTTCTAGACTTTTAGTACACTGAATATTTGAAGCTCCGTTTTTGTGGGAATTAGTTCTATCCAAAACACTATAGTACTTACATTTAGTTCTATTCTAGAATTTTAACCCCTAGAGCCATTTGCTTTTAGCTTTGCGCGGTCAACTATCCATACAAAAAAACATAGAAGGCCATATGTGCAGAGTTTATATATTTATTTGACATGTTGATATTTTCTAGGATTTGGACTGGGATGGTCATCATGTTTGGTACCTGAAATCATGAACCAGCATTTTGTGAAGCACAGGACTAAAGGGTTCAGCGTGGTTCTCGGAGTAAGCGGAGCCATACATTTCATAACTCCGCTTCTTTTGGAAAAGATAATAAGCGATTGCGGAGTTTCTGGATCATTTCTCATCATGTCTGCCATCATTCTCAATAGTGTACCTGCAGCAATGTTAATAATCAACCCCGAAGAAAAAAACACGAGGCGCCTAGAACAATCATCATTACAGACTGGTAAAAATAATTTGTTGGCTGTAGAACCCATTCACTGCACTCCTAACTCAAACTTAGATTTCGTAAGAGTATCCAGAACACACACATGTTTGGAACTTTCTCCCGGAGCTAGACCAAACTCTAGTTTTGTTGCAGATCAGTCCACTTCGAATGCAGAAGAACCTTGTTCGTCTGTCAATCAGCCTATGCCTATGAATACAACGAAACATTCTGAACAACGTATTGTTGAAATCAATAACGATATTGCCACGCACTTAAAACTTCAAGACAAAAGTGGAACGTTTCCCAAAGATAAGAAACTGGAAGAAGAAAATGACCTGCAGCATATTATTAAAAGTAGAGGTGGAAAGCTGGCAGAAATAAATGACCTGCCTCATATTATTGAAAGTAGAGACAGGAAATTAGAAGAAGTAAATGACCTACCTCATATTATTGAAAGTAGAGACAGGAAATTGGAAGAAGTAAATGACCTACCTCATATTATTGAAAGTGGAGACAGGAAATTGGAAGAAGAAAATGACCTGCAGCATATTATTGAAAGTAGAGACAGGAAATTGGAAGAAGAATTGAATTCGGATCTATTCGAAAATATTGATAACAGGTTGACAAATGAAACGAACAAATTTGAAAGGAAGAAGAAAAAGGCGTCTCCAACAAAATATGAAACAATTGACATTTTATGGAATCCTGTGTTTTTGTTGATAGCTTTTATTCAGAGCTCCTTTTTCTACATCCAATACATATCATGGACTGTACTAGTGGACTTGGTCCGTGACAAAAATATCCCACGCCATCTGGAAGTGTACTTTGTGGTTGGGCAGGGAGTTGTAGAAACCATTGGACGTATGGCTCTAGGATTTGTGACCGACAGTGGATACATGGAGGTCAGGAATTACTGTGCCCTTTGTTTCGGCCTCATAGGACTCTCGTGTACTCTGCTAGTTTGGGTGTCTGGATTTCCAATGACCATGACTGCCATTTGTATATTTGGTTTCATAAGTGGAACCAATCTAACTGCTCTTCCTGGAATTGTGACGGAGTTTATTGAAAAAGAGAAAAGAACATTGGCTATGGCATCGAGGCTAATTCTTTATGTGCCGATGAGTTTTACTATGTCTCCCTTAATAGGTAAGTTTGTCTGCCGATATTATGTTATACATTTAAAGAAGTTTGATTGCGAAACTAGCGAAACTAGCTCCTTTTTTTTCTTTCTCAAGCTCACAAGTTCAGTTTTTACAAGTTAAGATTCAGCTTTCGACAAGGTAACTTATAAACAAGTTAATATTAAGGTTCAGCTTTTAACATTCTTAAAAGATGCTTGTCAGAGAATAGCTGAACGCTTTGAGTCTAAACTAGCAGAATTTCTAATGAAATGACTGAAAATGTGATTTAGTGCAATAGGAAAGACCATTAAAAAAACATATTCAACGGCATTTCTTTAAGTACAGTGAAATCGAATTTTAAAATAGTCACTTACTTAAAATTCAATTTGTTTGGAATTATTCAATTAATTTTGGAAAAATTTAGCATTTTGTCATGTAAAATTCTATTCTTTAAAATGATGTAAAAATTGCATACCTTACGATTCAAAATATTTTCGACTAGTATTAAATAAATAATAAAAAAATGATAAATATTTACTGAAAGTTATTTTTTCCGTGAACTTATCATAGGATAAACAAATTTTATAATTGCGCGCAAAAATTTCAATTAGCGTAAAAAGTTCTCGAGATATAGTAAAATTAACATTAAGTAAAATTAACATTAAGTAAAATTAACATTAAGGGGTACAAACTTTGGAACTCTGCAATGACCAAACTATCGGGCCAATATTTCCCATATTGCGGCTACCCCCTACATATTAGGCATCAGAAATCCGAAATTGTTGAAAAAAAGGTATGTTTATTCAGAGAAAGTTAGTTTTCTTGTCTTATTTCGTACCTTAAAATATCGCCTGCACTAATCAATTAGCGTATTGGAGGTCATCCTCTCGAACCATTAAGAATAAGTCCTAGAACGTGAAGATCCGATCAGTAAATCAAAAGTTATTTTTGCGCACTGTACAGTTATGTATAAGATATGTGTAAGCAGCTATGCGACGTAAGATGGGACCGCTCACAAGTTAGTTCCTATTTGTAAAAAAGATTCGAGATTATCAAGGAAACAATTAGAATTACGAAGTTGGAGCTCATTCGTGATTTCGTTCGAAAATTTTTGTGGGAAAAAAACATGTTTGAAATGCTTGTTTGGGACTTAATACATTGTGGAGTGATCATCACAGGAACAATATTAAAGAAAACACACGCAATATTTTATGAAATGATAGCTTAATTTTCGCTGAACAAAGCTTCAGAAATGTTTGAAAATCGAAACTAAATATGTTTTTCGAGATTCCTTTTCTTTTGAGGATCGTCGTTTCGTGACGTCACACTGTCGGAAATCACGATCAAATAATTTTGCCTCATAAATATAGTATTCTTTTCTTAGCATTCGTGTTGTACCAATACTATATTATTCACTTTTTTTCTCTGACTCGTACCGTTTTCAATATAAGAACACTAAATCTACAATTTTGCACCAGGTGGCGCTGTAAATGGCCTTAAGGATAGCTGGCAGAATTTTATTTCGGGCCTATTGTATAATTTTTAACAGAGACCATTTTTTTCAGGAATAAAATTTTTTAAACAATTAAAGAAACTGTTGATAATAATGTAAGGCCGTTTTCAAATAGGGTGAACACTACAAGATCCATTTCTAAAGTGGAGAAAAATTTTAAGAAACAAATTTGAAATAAAGTAATTTTATGAATATTATAATATACAATAATAATAGAGACACTTTCAGATTTTGGCGATTTTTTCTTAAATTTCTCAAAAAATACTTAAAGGATTATATTTAACTTTAGAAATGTTTAGTTCACGCGATTTTTCATCTTATCTATAAAATTTAAAGCCTTCAGGTGTTTGAGAGACCAGCAGTAAATAACAAAGGAAAACAAGTATTTTTGAACACCCTATGCGAGAAAATCAAGCAATAAGCTTGTAACTTGTATCGATTACTTTAGTTGTTATTTTTAATAACTGCATGAAGTTTTTTAATAAACTTAGAGTAAATATTCATAGAGGTATGGACATTTTTGTAAAAAATTAATTTTTTCACCTTACGTTCTTTTATTATAATTTCATAGATCTTCAATGGAATTAGAAAAAAATTTTGAATCAATTTAAGATTAATTACGAAATGGCCGAATTAAAATTTAAAAATAAATTCGTTAAAAACTGCGCAAGTTATGAGTATTTCTTTTAAACTGCGCATGCACTGAAAAAATTTTAAGAAGTTTTTTCATCCTTTAGTAGTGAATCGTATTTGGCAACGAATTAAAAAAAATTGATTTGAATACCTTAAAATTTTAAAAAGTTTCAAGCAATTTTCTAAGTCGTTTTTGTACTCTTCAAAAGAGAGCTCAAAGCGATCAGTGTTTTTTTACAAGTTTTATTTTGTATGATAAGACAAAATTTATTAATAATTGATAATACTTTACAATAATGGTCCGGAATCTAAACTTTGATGGTATAGAGAAAGAAAACATGTTAGGGAAAGCATATTTTTTTTGGAGGGGGAGGCGTCCCCCCACAATGCCAGTCTCAATTTTATAAAAATCTTGATTAATAGTATAGGGTGAAATTTGTGGATATCCCCTTATCGTTCTGAGCTTTCTTTTAAAAAGTACAAAAACTGATGTGACGCTTATCGTCACTCAAAATTAAAATCAAGAGAAAGGGCTAAAATTAGATTTCTAGAGCATTTCAAAGTCTTCGATTACTCCAAATTAAAATCAAGAGAAAGGGCTGAAATTAGATTTCTAGAACATTTCAAAGTATTCGATTACTCAAAATTAAAATCAAGAGAAAGGGCTAAAATTAGATTTCTAGAACATTTCAAAGTCTTCGATTAAATAAAACTACCGTGGGAAATCTCCAGCTGCAAATAGTAACTTAAATACGGATAAAGTAATTCAAATAAACAATTAGCTTTATATCTTACAATGTCACCCCCATCATGGGATTAACCCCATCATGGGACAATCTCGAAAACAACAATAACTTTTGGACTTGACCTTTCCTCGGATTTGTAACTTTTTATCACCCAAAAAATAGGATATAAAAGCAGCCGAAAGAAAGGGTTCAAAAAGCAATAAAAAAAAACAATCAGTCAGAGTGTGTCTGATACCGAAACCGTGACTAAACTTGGTAAGTCTCTCTCTCCATCTATTCTAAAAGCACGTAAGAATTAATGTAAAATAATAGGTTGGTTTAATTGTATATTCTAATTCTAATATAGTTATGTTATTTCTTAAATTGTTTAAATAATAAAATGTTCTATTTGTTTAAATTTAAGACGAGTAGTTTCCTTAATTTAATGTAATAACAATAACTATACGATATGGACACACTTAAACGCTTCAACTGAAAAACGCCACACTAAATAGAAAATTGTTTAAAACTTTTTAAATTTTTAAGATATTAAAATAAAGTTTTTATCAATAGTTGCTAAATACGATCCCCTATAAAGTTATGAAAAAAAATTTCGCAAAATTTTTCTATGCATGCGCAGTATAAAAAAAATAGCTTAAATACTCATATCTTGTTTCAATGTAAAGCGAATTTTTTTAAAATTTTAAATCAACAATTTTCTAATTGATCTTAAATTTTTGCAAAAATTTTGTCATGTGAATATTTATGAAATTATAGTGAAAACACATAAGGCGAAATTTTTTTAATATTTTTTTTTTAATTTTGTAAAAATTTCCATTTTTTCATAAATATTTACTCTAGGTTTGCGAAACTTAATGCCGTTATTAAAAATAACGACTAAAGCAATCCGTAGAAGTTTTTTTTGCTTTATTTTCTGGCATAGGATGTTCAAAAATAGTTGTTTTATTTATTAGTTTGTAATTGGTCTTCCAAGCTTCTGAAAGTTTTAAATCTTATGACTAAGTATGAAAAATTGCATGAACTAAACACTTCCAAAGTTACAAAATACTCCTTTAAGTAATTCTTGAGAAATTTAAAAAAGTGTCAAAACTGAGAGTGTCTCCTCCATTAATGTAGAGTAGTGTCGTGATTATAATTCCATAATCATCAAAAATTGCACACGGGGTGTATTTTCGATGGAAAAAGTCACTTATTCGTTGGCGACCGGTAGACTATTTTAATAGCCATAACGCCATTTGTTATATTTAGTCGTCCTGTAGCCGATGGCGATCGTTAAATGTAAGAACAACCTATACTACAATCACAACCAATGTCGAAACAATAAAAGTGCATCAACATTATTCAGAAGTACTGAAAAGTACTAAGACGGAAATTGGCGAAAAATAGCTGCTGATAACGCCACAAGTTAACAAGTTTTATTCAATTTATTTTCAGGGTATTTCAGAGGCACTTTGGGCTCATACAATGGACTCTTGTACGTCATGACAGCCTTATGTGCATCTTGTAGCATTGTTCTGGTGTTCTTACCTCGAGTGAAGAAATATATAGAAAAAGAAGACAAGAGTTCAAAACTGTGAAGACATTCAGCGAGAAATTATTGTTTGCAATAAAATTCTGTCTGTTGGTTGCGAATTCCTGTAGTGCCGCAAATGGTCAACAATGTATTTGTTGTGAGAGATGGGGCGTCGAAGTTTATATATTGTTGGTTGGTAATTAAATGTGTCAATCCATGGGCGTCGTTTGTGGGGGGGACGGTAGGTGCTTGTCTCTCTCAATAATTAGAGTTCTCTAAAACTCCCCCCCCCCCCANAACCTCCCCCCCAATATTTTAAACATACAAAGAAAAATTTCATGAATCATCCTCGATTTAAAAATATTGCATACTCGATTAAAATAATCACTCTTTATGCAGATGTTTAGCAGATATAAGAAATAATTTTCTTTCGTATATGTGAACATTTAGAGAAATATCATGACTAGGTATTTTAATTTCGCCCTCCTTAAAAGTTGGACATCTACGATGCCCATCGGTCAATCAAAACTGTCATTTGAAAATGTGACTTTGTAATAATTTGCGTGTTATTAGAATATGAAAACGCGTTCATTGCGAATTCAGTAAAGTTTTGAGTACAGAAAAGAATAGTAAAGGAGTCGACATAAAAATCTCAAGCGAGTGAGTGACATTGAGGCCATTGAAATGCTAGGCAAAGCAGCATTTTACATGCAGATATGTCCTTCATTCACATTTAGCATATTGAAAAATATAAAATAAAATGAGCTGTGGTGGCTCAGGGGATAGAGCGCTCGCTTTCCACTGACGTGAACCGGGTCCGATTCCCAGCGATGGCTAGTCGATATGGATTCCGTCCCGCACCGACCACATTGCTGACATAAAATGGTAAATGGATCATGAGTTAGAGTCCCCTTTGCAGTTAGGTTAACCGTGGGTGGTTTTCGTGGTTTTCCTCTCCATATTACGCAAATGTCGTGATTAGTTCCATCAAAAAGTCCTCCACGAAGGCAAGTATCTCTCAATACTTGATCCAAGAGTTCCCTTGTCTTCTGCATTGGGTTCAAAATTGCAAGGATACGGAGTTGAATATTGTTAGTCGAAATCTGACTATTCGATCGGTTGTTCAACGGCGGTTAAATGGGCACATTAAAACTAGAAAATGGACACATTAAAATATGCGCCTTTACGATGTTCAATCTAAATTTAACTACTGAATGAGGAATTTCGTACTTACTTTTCCTTACTTTTTTAAGCAGTAGGCATATTTAGAACGGAGAGTCCTGGTGGCTCAGGAGATGGACCGTTCACAACCTTTGTGGTGAACCGGGTTCAAATCCCACCTTTGGCTGGTCGTTAATAGATTCGGCACCCGGCTCGCACCCACCACAGTGTTGACATAAAATATACTCGGTGGCTGACAGCTCATGCGGTTAGAGGCCTCCTGCTGCCCGGCTAACCGTGTGAGGTTTTCATGGTTTTCCACTCCATGTAACGCAAATGCGGGTTATTTCGATCAAAAAGTCCTCCACGAAAGTGAATTTCTTCCCAATGCTTGATTCAGGAGTTCTCTTGTCTTCTGAATTGGGTTCAAAGTTACAAGACTATCGCAGTTTAGAATTCTAGTCGCAAGTCCAAAATTGGGTTGGCTGGTCAACGACGGTTATGAAATGAAATGAATATATAAAAAATATTCCCTGGATAGAGTTCGATCGTATTAAATGTAAATTATTTATTGAAATGATAACAGAACAATTATTAAAATGTATTATCATCTAAACTCAGTAATTATACGTTGAAATAAAATTAAAAGTTAACTGTATAATGTTTGCGAGTTCACATAAACCTGTTAATTGTTGTCTATTGCCGCCTGGAAATTTTTTTACGCTTTTTTATATGCCTTTGCATTGAAGATACTCGACTCCTACATATTTCTGGACTGCATTCTAAAGTGACTTTGCATGGCAGCATAGACAAAGCGTAATTGGCTTCAACGTTCATGTCACGTGAAAGCTATAAATTTAAATTTACTTGAGTTTATTAGAGGGGTGGGGGGTGAGAAAAGATACATAGAAAGAAAACCGTTGGTCTATGCTTTTGTTCTATTAAAAATATAATGCTTGTATTATGCTTAGATGTAAAACAATGGGGGAGATATTCCTTAATTTATTAGGAGGCGCAATAACCAGTGAGTTAAGTTATATTGGTGTATGTTTGTCTACTGTTTCTTGTGTAAACATTTGGATTGTGCTAATAAAACTGCAGCAGTTATATTGCAAAATTTATTAGCAGAATATTCTTTGTTAATGACTTTTAAATACATAATTTTTGCCTTTTGGTAGCTTTTTTTCCTTCAACAAATTGCAGATTTTTCTTAAAATTTAAATATTGTTAGTTCACCACAAAGAACAAAAGCATAGACCAGTGTTTTTTTTCTCTCTATTTTTTTTTCCGAACGAAAAATTACAAGTACTCGTTTTTCCCCCCATTTCGCAATGTAAAAAAAAAAAAAAAACAGTTTTGATTGTTAATATTAAATTGTTTTAACAAAATTGTTTGCTTTTCTGAGTTTGAATTACATGGTAAAAGAAAAAGAGGAAAAAGTCTTTCAGACAATGAGTACAATTTTTATAATTATACTTACTAGAGTCGTGGTGGTTTAAGGGATACAGCTCTCGCTTCTCAATGAAGTGACCCGGGTTCAAATTCCAGCGATGGCTGGTCGATACGAATTCCGCACCCGGCTTACACCATTAAAAGGGCTAAAGTAAAATATCCTCAGTGGCAGGCAGATCCTGGGTTAGAGCCCCCTTGCCGTCAGGCTTACCGCGGGAGATTTTCCTCTCCATGCAACGCAATGTGGGTTAGTTCCATCAAAAAGTCCTCCACGAATACAAATTTCCATCCTTCTTTTCTGGATTGGGATCAAAATTACAAGGCTACAGAGAGTTGAACATTAGAAGTTGTAAATCCAAAAATTGGATCGGCTGTTCAAAGACGGTTGTAAAATAAAATTATGCTTACTAAAATATTTACTTAAATAATTTAGTTTATAAATGACTCAATAAATTAACACTTTTACATGAAACGAATAATCCTNATAGCCAGAGCGATTTACTTAACTCTTGTCAAACGGCGATATACAGCAAGTAGTCAGTTGAGTTTAGGATTGTGCATGATTATCTGTAAAATATGCGCCCTCGGTGATTTTCAAATTTAGTATTGCGCCCTTAAGGACAAACAGGTTGCCGACCCCTGCTCTAGAATCTTGTAGCACTCATGTGAAATCCGATTCCCTAGTTAATAACACGAGTTCTTCTCCAACCCCTTATGGAGCTTGGAAGTGCGGCCGACCCTGTTTTACCTCTCGTTTACTACTGCTTTATTAGTTTTGTTTTTTCCTCAATATTTTATTCTTCATCTGAGCCGATTTCGAGAATTCATTTTTTTGAATCTACTTAGTTCTTTTCTCACAGTAAATAAATAGTTAATTACATAACTGTAAAAAACAAACAAACACTGCTTGTATATTTAACAAAAGTATGCAATCGTTACTATTTTCATTAAAAACATACAGTAAATATGATCGAACCGCTGATAACACATAAGAGCATAACATACAATATATAAGAGAGCGATAATTAACGATAATTATGTGTAATCACCACTAAAATTAGACAAGTGAACATGTGATATCGTCTGGGAGGTCAGTTGCATCTCTGCCGACACACGTTAATTAAGAGCGTGATAATTAACGATGATTCTGTATAATCACCACTGCAATTAGTACACTTGAACATGTGATATCGTCTGAGAGGGCAATTGCCTTTATGCCAACAGCTGAACCGTGATGGTTCTGCGGATAGAGCCTTCCATTGAGGTGAACCGGGTTCGAATTTCAGCGTTGACTGGTCGATACGCATTCCACATCCGCTCACGCTGATCACAGTTCTGACGTAAAAATCTTCATTGGCAGAAGCATTTTCTGTTAGAATCCCCCTGCCGTCAGGCTATCCATGAGAGGTTATCATGGTTTTCCTCTCCATGCAACGCAAATATGGATTAGTTCCATCAAAATAGTCCTCCACGAAGCCAAATTTCTTCCAATATTTGATTCAGAAGTTCCCTTGTCTTCTGGATTGGGTTCAAAATTACAAGGCTACGGACTTGAACATTGATAGCCGTAAACCCAATAATTGGATCTGCTGTTCAACATCGGTTATAAAGTAATAAAATATGCCAACAGCTGTTAGTAATATCGAGGAGTGATTTGCACCAAAGGTCTGTCCATCTCCTGATATCATTAGGCAATGTTAGCATTAACTATTGTATTAATTGGTATTAATTATTGACTTGTCATTGCTGGTAATAATTATTTTACACGAAGGAATTAGCAAACACTGTTCGATGTTTTTCTTCAAGATGTTTACGGTACATAGAAATTAAAAAGGAAATAATGTATCACCTATTCACTTTCTTCTATCAAACAAAAGTTTTACTCGCTTATTAAGTTAGGTTAAGAGAAGTCTTGAAGAATCGGCATTAATATCATTTTTCAATTGAAATATTCTATAATCCATTGGCGATCGAAATGGGCTGCAAGTGGCGTAAAGCAGAACTCTCTACCTGTGGCAACACTTGTCCTGCCTTCATCACTAGCGTGTGGAGAGTCATGGGTGAAGGAAGTACGTTAGTTTCCGTCTTGATTTTCACATAGATTAAAAACTTTTTAGCTGTGAAACTTTATGGAACTGTAAATGATATTGAACATAGTTCTAAGAGAAAGCATCGTGAAAAATTTAAAAAAATATTTTGGACAATTAAATACGAAAAATATTAAGAAAGGGGAAAACATCGTAGTACATTCCAATGCAACTGAGAAGAGGAGGTGAGAGAAAGGAGGAGAGGCAAGATACATAGAACCGGTTTTCTCCCCAGATGCGGTATTCAAGAATATATAAGTGAGACCAGCTCTAATAGGCCCCCGTGTAAACCTGTTCTGGAGGCACCTATCAACTCCATCCCGGTGTGGAGGTATTGCAAGGAAAACAACTTGCCTCCTGACAGAGGGGCCTTCCGTCCTTACCCCGTAAGAAACCCTATATCCCTCCGCTTCCAAAAA